TGTGATTTGGTTGGAGAGCGATTCAAGCTCCGCATTGCAACTTGTGAGGTCCATGGACGTGCCACGACGTTCGCGACACATCGAGATAAGATTGCATTGGTTGCGAGAGCAGATGAGAGAGGGTTTGTTGAAATTGAGACACAGAAGTGGTGTTGAAAATCCAGCAGATCTTTTCACTAAATGCTTGAGTGCTAAGGCTTTCTACAAACACCGTTATGCTCTTGGGATTGTTGTTCCAGATGGTTTGGCAGCTGAGTTAGCAGAACTTCGTGAGCTGTGTGTGTTGCAGCAAGTGTTGACTCAGGGTTCTTCAATTGCGATTGTGGAACTGTGTTGTTCGGAACATTTGAACTTGAGAAAGGTTTGTGAAGTTTCAAAGGTCCCATACATTGGTGTAGTTGCTAAGGTGCAGAGTTCTGGAACGTTGAGTCGTGTAGCTGTTAGCATCCGACAGTGGAAGAACTCGTCATGCCCACCTTGGGTGCATATTCATGCGTCGACTCCTTGTGGAAGTGGAAGTCCGCTTCGCAACTTCAATCAGGACTCAGTCACTGAGAAAGACCAGGAATGGGATGAGATCATCAACGCGATTGGTGGTTACTTCAAACACATGCAGACTCATGTTTGTTCGAGCTTCCAGAACGAAATGCCATTTGGTCCCGACCTGAGACAATGAATCTTTTGGAGAGTTTTGACATGAGGCATCAGGCTTTGGTGAGGTTGTGCAAGACTGGATGTCAGAACAAAGATGGTATTCCAATTGGGAAAACGTTGAAGTTTGTTTCCAATTCGGCTTGGTTTGCATTAAATCTCCACTCCAAACTTTCCACATGTACATGTCAGACACACGCAGAACTTTATCAAATCAACTATGCTGAGACAGCGTTTTACAACAGAAAGTTGGCGAGATACATTTTGGTTGCAGTCAAACATGCTTCGAAGAAGAGCTGAATTTGCGTTTGAAAGGGGGACACTGTGTGAGAGAGAGACAGAAGTTGACGTCACGTTTCACTTTTCCTGTTTTGCATGTTGTTTTAAACAAACGTTGCCAAAGACAGACAGGAGTTTTCACAGTATTGCAGTTGAGCAGAGTTTTGATACGCGATGCTGTAAGATGCAGTGCGTGCGCGATGCGAAACAATCTGAAAGGTCACTGTGCCTATCACGAATGTGATAGCGGTTTGACACTTCGTTTCACGTTCTAGGTTGATTGCTCCTAAGAGTTTGGCCACGGTCTAGTGCTTTTTCACTACCGGACGTGGTTTGATTTTGCAGCCATGGCATCATCCAATTGGAGCATTGAAGATGAGAAGATGTTTCAGCAGTTGGCACAGCGTCGTACTTCTCAGATGCCATTGCCGACAGCTGGATCTAGTGGTGCAATGACCGATGCATCGAAGCGCAGAATTGAGGATGCAGAGTTTGAAGTTGACACAGAGTCAGATTGGGTGGTTGGAAGTAGTTTCATGGAGCCTGTGGAAGGCACCGAAGATTTGGCCACAAAGGCCTTGCTTCCAGCTGGTGTTACCAATATGGCTATGTGGGGAAAGACCAAGTTTGCATTTGGAAAGTATGAGAAGGAGAAGATCAGTTACAAGACTGTCTTTGAGAAAGATCCCAGCTATGTTTCATGGTGTCGAAAACATTTGACCAAAGACTCAGCGAAGGGTCCTGCCTTGGATTGGTCAAGGTACATTAAGGCCCGAGATTTGGTGGACTGCAAAGCGGCTAATGTGCCATTCTATGCAGGAACTGCCGTACGTCGAGAGTTTTGTGATTGATGACACTATGATAGAGGTTGGATCTATACAGGATCTCATTCTATGTGGACAACTGTAGTTTGCAAGATTGTCGAACTGGATGAGTGGTCACTATGTATGTAGCCCTTCGGCTAAGGGCATTTTCTTTATGTATTGACCTGTCGAGCTTGGGCGATATGTGCTGAAGTCTGGATGGGTTACAGCTTATACGTATGGAATGGAGTTCATCTCAAAAGGGGGTGTGAAAATTGTGTGACATCTGTGGTGAGATGAATCCATTGGATATTTTCTGCATTGGAAGAAGTGAATTTGTTTTTCACCTTGATGGTGAGATCAACCGTGATGGTTGACATCGTATTTGCACGTCTCATATACTGCACGTTTTATTGGAGATGACGAAACCCAACAACAATATGTTTTTCGTCTTCTTTGAGTACTTTGATTGCACGGAGAGCACAGTGAGGATTTGAATTTGTATAGTGACATGGAAAATCAAACCATTTCCCATATCTTTCACTCTAGTTTTCACCGGTGAAGTGCACGAAGGAATCGTGAGAAGATCGTAGAATTCATCTTTGTGACTTCGGAAGAAGGAACTTTGTTTGACATTGATTGGAGAAGTTAGTTTGTTTTGTCTCTCAATGATGATGACGAGAGCAACGTTCTGAAAGGCATTCAGAACTTGGAGTTGCTAACAGATCTGAGGGAGACATCACAGAACATGTTTTGGTGCTTGAAATGTTTCAACAGTTTTCAAACACTCAAACTTATTTGAACAAACAAACCATGTCTTAGATGTAAAGACTTTTTGTGACGACATGTGTTTTTGATCGCTTTTGTGAAGTTGGCAGAAAGATGTCAACAGGCGACTCTGCATTTGTTTTGTGTCAAGGAGTGATTCGTCAACAAGAACCATAGCGATATGAGCAGAGTCATGTCTGTTTGTGTGTGGTAAAAGTGGCTGAGCTCTGGGATCGGTTGACTTGGTTGCGTGGACGGTCTTTTAGTGTGTTAAGGACGACGTCCTGGACGCTGACCCAAGTAGGTCTAGAGGTTTCGAAGGTTTTTAGTACCTTCCGCACTCTAGGGGTGAAATCTCAGATTGCATTCTTTCGCATTCAGGAGGCAAATGGTTTTGAGCTTTTGAGATTGCTGCGCAGGGAGTTCAGTTTGATGAGCCGTCCAGAGGCGCTGCAATACAGAGAAGCCTGCCTGAAGTACACAGTGAAAATTCAGAGAGGCATCTTCTTATGGATGTACTGAGAGAGATGGGGGCTGAGATCGAAGGATTTCACTCTATGCTGGAAGCTTCACAGATCGCTAGTCAACTGTCTGACTTGCGCATCAATGAGGGGGATCAATACCTTTTCTACATTCGAAACTTGCCAGACAGGGTAGCAGAGTTCGTGCAGCTTCACTGTGGTGCAGCAACAGTGGCCAGAGTTTGGGAGTCTGTGGTGGCATACCACACAAGAATGAGACTCACCAATGACCTAGACAGCAGGATGCATGTGGCAACAGGGCCAAAGCAAGGCTCTGAAGGCATTACTTGCCACAATTGCGGCAAACGAGGACACATAGCTCGTGAATGCCCACTGCCTGTGAAATGCAGCCACTGCGGCAAGTCAGGTCACACAGCTGAGGACTGCTGGGCCAAGGATCCGAGCAAACGACCAGGAGGGTCAGCTTCCACTCCTAAGCCTGCGGCAAAGCCCAAGGCCAAGTCTGCTGCAAAGAGCAAAGGCAGCAAGGGCAGGGGCAAAGGCCGAGGAAAAGGAGGGAAACTCAGAGAAGTAGACGAAGGTGAAGAGCCTTATGAAGCTGAGGAATCTCAAGAACCAGAAGGTGAGCAGGAGGATGGAAACCAGGCTGCTATGGTATGTCAAATCTTTGGCAGTGAAGACTGGATCAGATGCTGGTGGGCCAAGGGGGGTCACAGGGACATCGAGTACTGAGAGACCGGTGACACACCACCTGAGCAGCACACTGCAAGATTTTGTAGGTAGTGTAGGGATCGGAGATCCTAAGACCTGGCTGGTAGACTCAGGGGCTACATGCCACATCGTTTCTGAGAAGTGGGTCAAGCACTACACTGTGAGTTTTGAGTATCCTGGTCCATCTCCAAGCTTGAAGGGTGCAGGAGACAACGATCTGCCTGTCAAAGGGGTTGTAGATCTGGAATTCAAAGTAGGTAAGACGAAGATTACCATGAAGCGTGTAGTAGTGGTAGGAATTCTTTTGAATGTGATCTCAACTTACGCCCTTTTGGAAACTGGTTGGAAGACAGTCCTTGGCAATGCTGAGGAGAGTGGATTGTTTTTGAAGAAATTGAAACTTCCTTGAAGATTTCTGAGAGAGCATGGTGGCTGAAAGTCAGTTTGCTTTCGAAGCACAAGAGTGGTGTGAAGGGTTCTGGACCAGCACCGATGGACTTGAGCACCGTCAACACTGGAAACACTGTGAACACTGAACGCACTGAAACGAAACAAACCAAACGAAACACTTGTTGTGGTTGTAGTTCAGTTGCAGCAGTTGTCCCTGAGGATGTTGTGGCTAAGGACCTGGTAACTAGGGAAACTAAGGACTCTTTGACCAAGGACCCTGTGAATCATGTTGCCACTCAGGAGGTTGCGCAGGTCACTGAGGATAGGTCAGGAGGTTCTATCCAGGTCAAGGCCAAACGTCGGGAGCTTCAGATGAAGAGTGCTGACATGTTGCAGTCGTTTTCCTATGTTTGTAGGAGGTTTCATTTTGGAAGCAGTCGCCTTTTTCAGCATGTTTTTGATGGACATGAGCCCAATACGGTTGAGACAGACGTTTTGTTTAAAGCAAACGTTGAAACAAACGATGAAACGACAGACAGTGAAGATGATTTCATGTCATGTTGTGCATCTGAAACGACAGACAGTGAAGAGGATTTCATGTCATGTTGTGATTTGTCAGAGTTTTGTCAAGAAGATCATGGTACATCTGGAGACATGGATTGGGAATACCATGGTGGGAGGACAGGTTCAGGTCAATCTGATCGGAAATGCAGGTGTGACTGGACGTTTGTGGACCCTTGTTTCAAGATGTTGCGTGGTTTTCCTTAGGTGGAGGACTTGACACAGGATGAAGTTGATGACAGCGATGTCATGGGTGATAGGCCTCAGGTAGGTGAGGTTTTTGAATTTGACTCCCCATCACTTGCTAATTCAGTGAATTTGGAGGGTTGGGGACCAACGAGATCGCTTGCAGGGCATGGACCTTTCAGGCCCACTGGAGTGCAGCCATGCATCCTATGATTATGTGGCCAAGATGCTGGAGCAAGGTACACCAATGTATTTGGAACCTCACAGGTTCACAACCAGATCTGCAGAGGTCGCAAGGGAGAGGCCCGGCAAAGAACTGGTATTGGACCAGACACACCTTACGGTCAAAGAGGTGGAGAACAAAGACAAGTGCCCTATGCAAGGGGAACTTCAGGTCTTCCAGGCCTTGACCAGACGCTCCCTGGCCTGTGACCTCATGGGCGTGTGCACCTTTCGAACAATGGAGAGGTGGCATCGTTTCCTCATGGACAGCATGCAGATTGCAGCGCCTCCTGGGTACAAATCTGCAACCATTGAACAGATCCTGCGAGCAGATCGAGCAGGATGGATCAGACTTGCAGAGCGCATTGACACCTTGCGCCGTGCCCCAGACGGTTCATTGCCCCTCGACAGGGCCATTGAGGAGTGGCGCACAGACCCAAATGTGGTGTTTCACATGATGCCACTGCCCATGCCCAAAGTGCAGGAGAAGTCAACTCCAACCAAACCAGCAAAGAAAGACTCACCTCAGAAATCCCAAGGTGGTCAGGGCAAAGGACGCGGCAAAGGAAAGGGCAAAGGCAAGAACAACAAAGGCAAGATGCCTCTCGAACTTGTTGGATTCAGCCAGACCACCAAGTCAGGCAAACGTGTGTGTTACAACTACAATTTGGCCAGAAGTTGTCCCTATGCGGAGCCCAACAAGGAGTGCAGCAAGGGGATGCACGTGTGCATCAAGTGCGGAGGTGCCCATCCATTGCACCAATGCACTACAACAACCCCTGCGTGACTATCTGGGGACCCAATCGTCCCCCCAAGCCAGAAAAAAAAATCTGAACCTGGGCCCAAGCCCCAAGCGCCTGATCGATGCATCAAGCGGCACCATGACAATTTTTCAGAATTTAATGTGCAATTTTCAAAGCGTGTTTTTGGCAAATCAATAGCTGACCTCCTCTTTATCGAGGTTTTCTCAGGGACTGGAGGCCTTACTGCAGCCATCCGGCACATTGGGCTAGCACACAGCATAGGAGTTGATGCCCACGTGACAAAGCGGGTGAAATCCCCAGTCGTCCGATTGGACTTGACCTCTGAACATGGGCTTGCGCTTCTGTGGCGCATTTTGCAGCAGGATAATGTTGCAGCAGTACACCTTGGACCTCCTTGCGGCACCAGTTCCAGAGCCAGGGACATCCGCCGCAGGTTTGGCAGTGACCCCAAACCGCTGCGATCAGTTGCACACCCCGATGGATTGCCCTGGCTACAAGGCCTTGACCCAAAGAGGGTAGCATCGGCGAACACCCTCTATGACATCACAGGCCAAATCTTTGGTGTTGCGACAATGGCATCCTGTGCACCATCGAGAACCCAGTTAGATCACACATGTGGCGTACATCGCATTTTCCCGCCATTTGCATGGCAGATCAGGTGTTGCTGAAGTATGCTTTCACACTTGCATGTTTCAAGCCCAACGCAAGAAGCGCACCAAACTGCTGTGTAACCACAAAGCATTTGAGGTTCTGGCCATTGACTGTGATGATAACCATCATTAACACCTACCATGGGGGCTAACTGGCAACCAGTGGGCAACAGCTCAAGAGACGGAGTACCCCCACAAATTCTGCCAGGCATATGCCAAAGTTTGCTATCACTTGTTTCTGCAACATGGAGCCCTGGCAGTACCACAGCAAATGGACCACGATGCTGTCCAACTTACTCAAGCCAGCCGCGCAGCCTTGGGAACACAACCCCGTGGCAAGAAGCTCAAACCGCTGGTACGAGAGTTTGCAGCCAAGGTGACCATTCAGGGCCCACAAGCGTGCCTTGCAGCCCTCCCAGACAAATGTACTTCCGATGTCACCTTGCCTACAACTTGCACTCCCAGCTTTGCATTGCCTTTGTTGCCCAGACATGCAACAAGACTCCAACCTCCGATGCCAATGGGGGATAGTGCGGACCTTGGAAATTGGACTACCAAATATGGGACTGCGTGGAAGCCAAATGAATTTATCCAACAAGCAGCTGGGTTGTCACACCCTGGACACTTCATGGATGGCGTCCATCCTGCGATGGTCGAGCTCTTTGACAGATTGGCGCAGAAATCAACAGCCACTCCAGCCCTGGAAAGATCAGCACAAATGCGCAAGTGGCTGCTCAGAGCTCAAGAACTTCGTGACCAAGGTGTGGACGGTCTGGAACAATCCCCATCACATATCAGGCGCATCCTGAAGGGCAAAAACATGCAGCTCTTCGATGAAATGAACAAGGCGGCAGGATCACCAGATGTCAATTTGGCCTCCAACGTGTGCAAAGGTTTTGACCTTATGGGGACCATTCCTTCAGGTGGAATTTTCCCTTGCAAATACACCCATGCAACCTTGACACCTGAACAAGTGAGAGGCATGGCCAAACTCTCAAAACAGGCCACATGGAGGGCAACAGGGAAGTGCAAGGGCCAAAACCTTGCAGCAGAGGTGTACAAGGCAACTTGTGATGAATGCGAAAAGGGGTGGCTGTACTCACCAGAAGGTTTGGCATCCAACAGTCTGCCACTCTGGGCGATGGGAGTCGTGTCTACAAGACAAGACCAATTGATGACTTCTCCGAGTCGCTGGTGAATTCTACAAACTCATGCTCGGAAACAATCCAGCCTATGTCCACTGACATGATCCTTGCGGCTCTAGCCATGAGGGCCAGGAAGTGTGGATCGGAAAAACTTTTTGGCAAAGCTATTGACTTGCGGAAGGCGTACAAGAACCTTCCACTTTCGGAGTCAGCGCTTGACGACGCCTACATTTGTGTTTTCTCGCCTGAGGCAAACCAGCCTGTGGCATTCCAATCTCAGGTGCTCCCTTTTGGGCAAGAGCAGCGGTCATGGGATTCTGCAGAGTATCCTACGCACTCTGGTTGATAGGAGTTGCCCTCTTCAATCTGCATTGGACAGTCTTCTTTGATGATTTTTACTTGATAGCCTCTGAGCAAGAGCGAAGGCACATTGACCTTGCACAGGGCGTCTTGTTTCAACTCCTGGGTTGGGAAGTGTCGTCAGAGAAGGGCGCCGATTTTGATGCCGTGGCTCGTATCCTTGGGGTCCAGATTGACCTGAGTGAATCAAATATTGGTGTCTTCACGGTGTGCAACGTTGATGCCAGGGTCAAAGAACTAGTGGCGACAATTGACCACATCCTCTCACAACGAACCCTGTCAGCAGCTGAGATGAGAGTGCTGAGGGTAGGTTGGTCTTTGCAGAAGCTCAAATCTTCGGAAGGATTGCAGGGCTACATATGCAACAGCTGGGAAGATGGGAGCATGCAGTTGGCCACTCGTCGATTGACCCAGAACTGATCGAAAGCCTGTCCTTTCTTAGAGATAGAATCGTGCTCGGTGGACCTAGAAGAGTCATCGCAGACCACGGAAGAACTTTCCATTTGTACACTGATGCTTGCCTGGAAGATGGTGAGGGCGGCATAGGAGGTGTATTGCTGGACCAATATGGCAAAGTGCTCTCCTTCTTCTCTCAGGTTGTCACTGAACACCAAGTGGCTCTTTTGAATCCACGGCACAAAGAGACAATTATCTTTGAGCTGGAGGCGCTTGCAGTCCTAGTTGGGTGTACCACTCTCTTGCCTGCAGAGGGAATCATAACAAACGATCGCATAGTAGTGTTCATTGACAACAATTCAGTGTTGAGTAGACTGATATCTGGAAAGTGTGGGAGTGAACTTGATGGAAAAAAATCCAACATGTCTTGGAGTGGGAGTACAGCACTAACTCCGTGTGTTGGTATGAACGTGTGCCGTCGGCAGCCAATGTGGCAGATGGGCCTTCACGTGGTGACAAATCAGACCTTGAATTGAATCTTGAAATTTTGGTAGAAGTCAGCGATGTGCTGCACGCTCTCAGTTTGGCGTCTCCCTGAGTGTGATGTGGGGGAAGATGCAGCCAGACGACATCCCCATGTTAAAAAGAAAGAGCGTGTGCGACTTCACTTGATCATCACATTTCACATGAATTGAGCTGCATGAAATCATCAGCCATACGGGTAACCTCTCGAAGAGATGTGTCATTATGGATTTGATTGAATGAGTGTTTAGTGAAACACGCCAGCTCATTTCCACTTTGCTGTTGCGAACATTTATTACCCTGAAGTTTTGGTTCAAAGGGGTGTAACAATTTTTCAGCAACAAAACCCCGCCCTCCCTCTACCTTTGTTTTGCTTTCACCCTGCATGTCCTCAAGTCACTCCTTGACACCAGAACAACTATTTACTCTCCATATTTCCTTGTGCATCCCCTCTCATGGCTCTTGTGCCTCTTGGCGAACCTCCAGCGCTACAGCAACTTTTGCAGAATGTCTTCATAGCAGACCGGCAGCTCTCAACTCTCTATCGTATGCTTGGAGACCTCATAGACATGACTGATGACTTTGAAGACCTGGCAGCACCAGCGGTCCTGCTCCGTTTGCGTCAGACAATCCAAGCCATGGAGCATGCCATCTACTTTGCCAAGATTGCAAAACTTCATCAAATCATTCGATTGCACAGAGCCATCCAGACTACTTGGCAGCGCTGGCATGTCGCGCCACCAGTGGAGTTAGATGTCGATTGATGCACTTGGACACTCTCAGTTTTATTTCTTGTGGCAAATGTGTGCACAAAGCACTTTTTCCGCCACTCCGTGGCTGACACCTTTTTCCTAGCCACACCGTGCAGATGCAGCCAGACGACATCCCCATGTTAAAAAGAAAGAGCGTGTGCGACTTCACTTGATCATCACATTTCACATGAATTGAGCTGCATGAAATCATCAGCCATAAGATAAGGTTGCTGTGAATGTGTGTGCGTGTGTGTGCCCAGGAAAATGAACGTCATTACCCCACCCCACCCCACCCCACCCCACCAGTAGCTAAGCTGATTCAGTGAAATGAAAAAAAAAATGAGTAGTGCCTGTGTCTGCTGGAGAGCAAGAAAGATGAGAAGGTTGCTGTGCCTGTGTGTGCACGGGAACATGAACGGTACCACCCCACCCCACCCCACCGCACCGGTAAGTGACCATGGAAGAGTAGTGCCTGTGTCTGCTCGAGAGCAAGAAAGATGATAAGGTTGCTGTGCCTGTGTGTGCACAGGAACATGAACGTTATTACCCCACCTCACCCCATCCGCAGAAAGGTGGAGGTGTGACTGCTCGAAAGCAAGAAAGATGATAAGGTTTGCTGTGCCTGTGTGTGCACAGGAACATGAACGTTATTACCCCACCCCACCCCAACCCACCGGTAACTGACCATGAAAGAGTAGTGCCTGCGTCTGCTGGAGAGCAAGAAAGATGATAAGGTCGCTTTGCCTGTGTGTGCACGGGAACATGAACGGTATTACCCCACCCCACCCAGACATCAACCCTAAAGGTGTCGTGGCTCTTCTTACATCAATTGCAACAAGACATAAACCCTAAAGGTGTCGCTGCTCTTCTTACATCAAGTGCAACAAGATATAAACCCTAAAGGAGTCGTGGCTCTTCTTGCATTAAATGCAACAACCGATAAACCCTAAAGGTCTCGTGGCTCTTAATTAAAGTGTAAGAGTAGTGTCTCTTAATTAAAGTGTAAGAGTAGTGGTGTGTACATGTGATCGCGGTCGCAGAGTACTTGTGTGCACATGTTACCTGAATCTGCGTGCGCAGATGATCTCACTTGTGCGTACATGTGATCGTGGGCTTGCTGGTGTGTACATGTGATCCCCAGCTGCGTGCGCAGGTGATCTTAAGGGCTTCAAACGGGCTCTGTGTGTACATGTGATTTGGATTTGCGTGCGCGGATGATCCCTTGACCCCACAGGGTCTGAATCAACGTGGTGACAGGAACCAAGATTCGGATGAAAGAGATGGTCGTGGCATCTTTTCCAAGTCAGAGAAGTGGTTGCCGCCAATGCCGACTATTGACTTTAGTCGTTGGCGAACTCGTGCAGATGAAGTCCTTGGATTTTTGGACTGGGTTCAAGCACTGCGTGCTTGGGTTTTCTTAGGAAGTGACATCTTTGCTTGGGAGATTGCCCAATGCATCGGTTGGGAACAGGAGATTCATATGGCTGTGCTGAAGCCCGCTCAGCAGACTCGAAGTGCACGTCTTCTTGCATGTCTCATTCAGACGTTCAAAGATTTCCCGAGGGGAAACACCATGCTGCAAGCTTATGTTGAAGGAGTTGGTGTTGATGGAGCGTTCTTGGCATCGAGAGGCACAAGTGGTTTTGAAGGTTTGTGTTTGCTGGCAAGAGAGTTTTCTTTGCGTTCAAGGGCAGAAGCGTCTTTCTTCCGCACTGAGTTTCTGGCAAAGACGTGCGCGTCTTCAGGTGTTACCTCTCTCCATTGGCAATAGTGCCACAAAGTTTCACAGCACAGAGCTCCAACAGAAACGACAGAATGGACTTAGCATGGTTTTGAGGAGCGATTTACAGCAATGCATCAAAGATGCAAACTGAGGTGGGGTGAAAACATTTTACTCATCCTGCATCAGCTGCCATGTGATGTACATTCAGCATTTCATAGCAGGGACATGTCAGTCACAGCCTTTCGATGTCAGATCGCATCGTTGAGGCGCTTTCGGTTCCAAAAAAATAACAAACAAATACTTTCGTAGAATTTTTTGAGGGTCTCAGGCAGCATTACGCATCCACAACAAAAATTGAAGATATTTGCGCCGGTTATACCGCACATTGGCATCCTTATATGGTTAGGTTGTTCTTAGCACCCCCGGGCAACCAAGTCAAACCCAAATTCGTTCATTCGGATTAAACCAGCAACCTGTTGCGTCCAATTGTCGCAAAGATTGCAAAGACAACCGGTTTTGAAGTCGTTTCGCTGCACAAAAACTGTTGAATTAACCCATGAAAAAATCAAACAATGTTGAATAGGTCGAAACAACAGTTGGCGGTGTTCATGGTTGGTCACAAAAATCGGAAAACATGTTTCATGTTTCCATTTTATGTATTTGCATGGCATGTCTCAGCCTGCCGCCTGAATCACAAGCCTCAGACGCTTCTGAGTGCAGGGAAATAAAAACAAACAATGATTTGTTTCGTGCAACGATTGGGATTTTGTGTTCGAAGAACGGATGGCAAATCATTGAACACGCCATGCGTACACAAATTTGTTGTGAAACAATACAATGAGGAGCACGAACTCTGGCAGACGTAAACATTAGATGCAGCAAAAATATGACACACTACATGAAATTTGCGGCCGCCATGAAGAAACATGTGCTATATGCAGATCAATCAAGGACGACTTCAGTGCCACTGTGAGGGTTTGTGAACGGTGGATTTTCAGTACGCAGGCTGCGACAGTGCCGATCCTTGGTGGGCAAGACTTTATGTTGCGACAAAGACAACATCTAGGCCGCTGTTGGCCAGTTTGTGGCCATCCAGTTTGTGGCCATCAAACGTGAACAAAGATTAATTGCATCCAACCGCAGGTGAAATTTGCATTTTGCAACACTATGGCAGCTCGAATTGATCCGGCCTTAAATTCATGCGGTCGTTGCAGGTGGTAAAAGGTTGGAATTCCCTTGGAATGCAAACACTTCGACAGGCTTTTTGCCAATGGCACAATTCAATTTTGACCCAGGTCTTGCAGCAGATCTTGCAAAATGAACAAAGGAATTTGCTGCATGCAGTATTGACAGTGTTGCGAAAAATTGGAAAAATTGGAAAATACTCGCAGATTGCTTTGTGATAAGCATTGATTTGGTGAAGTAAACAATGCCAAATGCAGGAGATCCCGGACCAACGCGAGGAATCAAAGGCATTGCTGTTCAATATTGAAAAGTGATGTTGGATAGGTCAAGGTGTTCAACGTGCTAAATACAAAAACAATGTTTTATATATTCCATGTTGTTTTTTTCGTCTCAACCTTTCCGAGCAGGATCTCTGCAACTGGGCCCTTTTCCATCGATACAGGTGAGCTGCTTGAATGCAAGACTTGGTAACCATATATACCCTGTCAATATTTGTGAATATGAATCGGTGGTTGCACTTGAACCATGGAAGGTCAAGAAGAAGACGGATTCTTGCAAATTCTCAAAAATTCCATCGAGGCCATGGCAGTATTTGTCTCTGCAATGCTTGGACGTTTGCACATGTTTGGAGTCTCGCAGAAAACTTGTGAATGACATCCAAAAAATCCAAAGTATATACCATTTGCCGCACCTTGAAAAAAATAAAACACTCAACGTGACATTTCCAGTTTCTGAGCTCCAACCATTCTAAAAATTCCAATGTGTACTTATGCCACCATGTGCTTTGATTCGGCGGGAAACTGTTTCTTATTGAAACATGTCCAGGCTAGAGTTCCAAGTGTGCATGGAGCTCCAGCCGGTACTGGTGGTACAGGCAACACTGGTGAGGACAGAGGCCTACATGCTAGCCACGTACTAGCTATATACACGCTACCTACATGATACCTCCATGCCGGGCTCAATACTTTTTTCCCTTCACTCAGCCCACAGAAACAGGGGGCGTGAGGGCAAACTACACCCCTACGTACAGCTTGGATACTGCCATGTACATACAGATAGATATGTAAATATGCACATAGATAACATCCATCGCGCAAGTATTCCCACATGCGTTGTGCGAATGTTGGCGCAAGGAGGATTCCAGCAGCCAAGACTGCAGAGTCAAAACTCGTGATGGTGGTTGCTTGACTGCTTGATTACTTGGTATCTATATTATGCTGTCCAGTGGCTGCTTCAAAACGAAAATTTTGTCGTGCCTGTAGAATCTTTATGGATAAATTCATGTACAAAAACAAATTGTATTGTGTGTTTTTGTGCAGCGTTTGTTTCTTTGATCTTTTTGGATGCATCACTTTGATCATGTATCACGGCGCTTGGTCAGCTATTCCTAGCAGCACTTTGAAATTTCTTCAAGTAAACCACAATTTTGGCAAATGGTTGCAGCATGTTGCAGCCAAGAGCTGGAAAAAAATGGTCCAACAATCTTTCTGACCTTCTTTGTGACCTTCGAGGTCCTTATGAAAGTGGAGCAGTTGAAGCAGCATCTTTCGAGAGCCTGTCCGACCAGGCTAGGAACAAAACCGAGAGCAGTTTTTTTCAAGTGACGGAATATGTGACTTTTGTGAAGCTTGAACCAAGTTGAGTTGGATTGCCATGATGTGACAGGAGAGCACCCCGAAACAGTTATGACCCTGGCTGTGAGCCGCTTCTGAGTTACTTGCATGGACAAACATGGAAAAATGTGAGAATTTGCTGAGGAGATGTTTGATTCTCTCACCACGTGATCCTTGGAAGGCGGGCCAAAAGTAATTTCACCTGTGGGAGTCCGTGTAGTAACGTAGTACTCGTGTGGTATTCGTGTAGTGCTTCTTTTACGGAACCGTGTAGCCTCCCATCAGACGTCAAGGTGTGCTGGGATGTCTTCATTGGAGTGCTGATCATCTATACGATCATCACCCTGACCTGGCGCATTGGTTTTGACCAGGCACTGTTGGCACAACTCGGAACAATTGCACTTAATCTGAAACAACGCAAGTGAAACAACTAAGCAAATTGTGAAACGCTGAACAGGCTTGAGATATCTTGAGACCTAACGTTTTGTGATGGTGTGTGAATACGAGTCATGAACATATTATGAACATGTTGAATAGAAGACTTCCATAGACTTCCCAGTTCCAACCTTCGGGTCTAAGCCGTCGACACTGCGCAAATAGAAGACAAAATGTCAAAACGCCGCAACAGTCGTTTTAAAATGTTTAAAAGGGTGCAAATATGTGCAAATGCACATGTGTCAGCTTGTGTCAGCCTGTGTCAGCCTGCGTCAGCCGTGTTTTCCTGGAAATGTTTTGAATTGAAGCATTGGAGGAAGCTCGTGAAGCAGCTCTGGCATTTGAATACTCCATTGACATCCTTTTTGCCGCCCAGCACCCGGATCCGTTGTCCAAAGTAACAAATGGTTGTCAAATGGTTGTCAAATGGTTGTCAAATGGCCCGGAAATGGATCAGGTGGATACCATTCTTTGTTTCCGAACAGGTTTCTACATGGAGGACAACTGTCTAACTAGCACGAAAACGTGACTTGTTGAACTTGCAATGTTTTTTTGCTCTTTTTCGCTCCAGTTTAGTGCTTGGACTCTGTCTCAAGAAAAAGGACATTTGCCTTTGTGTCATTTGATTTGTACATTTCCAGATTTTCCAGGACACTTTCATCACTGATTGGTGGGAGATTGCGAAGAGGCATGCTTTCATCGCCTGTTCCAGTTATTTTTTTTTTTTTGCCGCCTTTATTTGCAGCTGTGGCCGCTGTGACCCAAGGTACTGCATGACTTACTTTCTTTTCGATCTCCTGTCGTGGTTTCCGATTGATTTGCTGGTTCAGGCCATTTTGGGTCTCTGCATTTGGGCACGGTTTCACATGTCCACTACATCAGCTCTATTTTGACGAGCCTCTTAATCATTGTGACGAGTCTCTTAATCATTTTTAACTAGCCGCCTTTTTTGTCTGAGCAAGTGGAAGGTCCTCACTGGTCAAAACAGCTCTGGGATGAGGCACCTGCAAGTTGAATGTTTGTGGTTTCGATGTTTTGACTTGGCCCAACATTGTTGGAAAAGTGAAATGGTATTTCAAACTCGAGTGAGCTAAAGGTGTTTGTTCCTAAAAAATGTAAATGGGATCACAGAGTCTTCGAAACCCCAGGTCTGTGAAACTCATGAAGTTCGTTCGCTTGGTGATCGGCTGAGCATTGTGCACTGTTGGGGATAGTCTTGAACAGTTGGTAGACAAGCACACTGTAGCTTTTTACTTGGTGACTTGCAAGATAGTTGGCACTCAACTCGGATGGCCTGGCGTGACGCTCCAGAGGAGCTGGAGAAGACGGGCGAAAAGAGGAACTGGATGGAACTGTATCATGAGATATCATGAGTATACTGTCAGTGCTGACTATGTGCTGCACCGTAGTGGTCTGTGGCCACAGCAAGCTCAAAGGCGGAGCTCAAATTTTCTTTGTTGGCCAAGGAAGCTATGTCAAGACAAAGAAGGACAAAGAGGCATGGAATGATGTGACGACTTGCTTGAGCACAAGCCTTCCGTGTGATTTGCTGTTTACACCACGGAGGAGGTCTGAGGATGATCCAAAGTGTGACCTGGTGGGCTCATAGTGGCATGGCTTGGAAGTCAAGCGCAGCACCATCGCTGGAGACTCGAAGCGGCATATTTTCTGTGAAAGACACCAACTTCCATCTCGAGGAGGCACTCTGGTGCTCATACAGCTCTGCCGAAGTCAGGGACTTGGTGGTGACATCTTTGTGGTCACATCAACGAGGTCGTTTTGGGTCTTGCGGGACCAGTAGCCACAAGTGTCACTTGCATGTGAAAAGCTGTAAAGCTATGGAGGGCGGCAGCTATCAACCTGTCACAGCCAGTGGCATGGCTCGACAGTTGTAATGCACTGCCACGCGCTTGGTCAGTGCAGCTGGTACCACGCTGGAACACTTGGCCCGGTACTGGCGCCTGGGACTGCTTTGGTGCCTATTGCCTTAGGATGGCTTGACAGGGGCTTGCAGCAAGCTGCATTACGCTCCTTGCACAGCACATGCCAGTTGGTGGAAGCCACCGAACTGGCTTGAGGAAGTCCAAAGATGCCAAGAAGAAACGAAAGAGTCATATCATCTCTGAGGAGGGACAAAATGCAGATGAAGAGACCCAAATATTCCTCTGAAGATCGCTTGGTAGATTTCATCAACAAGGCAGTGGTGATCGTCGCAACCCAGGACTTCACCAACCAGTTACCACTGCCACCTCTGCCTGAGGATCCACCCGCCGGGGCAGAGCCAGTGGCGGATCCGGATCTACAGCCCCAGCCGACCAAAGAAGGTGAAGGTGAAGAAGCCGCCCAAATCGTCACCTCACCGCCGACGCTAGCTCTTGAAATCCTTTCAAGGATCCACTGGGTACTAGATCCACTGGATACTAGGTCCAGCCTGTCTCACAAAAGATCTTCAAAGATGGAAAAAATCTATGAGAACTATGCACGTCTACCGAACTTCACACCTTGTGACATCTCGTCAAATCTTGTGCTTTTGCAATCTTTTGCATGGCGCAACGTTGTGGTAGCTTTGTGTGCCCAGCAGCTACCACCAATCAGCGGGCGCAGGTCCCAGCAACAGTGTCACTAAGGTCCGCCTTGCCAAGTTGATGCGGCTCTTCAAACTCAATAGGCTTCGGCAAACTATCGACAATTTTGACCAAACATGACTTCCACTAAAGTCACTAAACACTTCCAAGCACCTTCAAAATCTTCTAAAGTTCTATCTGCGTCGTGGAAAAATCAAGTCTTGTCCGTGACGCTGTATGAAGCTGTCAGGTTTCTCGTTCTCCTAGAGGAAAAGCTCCATTTGAAGCCCGCCATGATTCGTATGGCCGGAGACCCAGACCAGAAGCGACCAAGATGCTACAACTCATGCCTTGTATATTTACATGCACATGCAAGTGCAACATGCGTTCAGAAAGTTGTTTGAATTGGCAATGATTGGGATCATTTGCCATGTACTTTGCACTTTGGACAGGAGGTTAATTGTTTACAAACCCTTTTTGCATGTTGCAACAGGTTGCGTTTGAAACAAATTTGATTGCAGCATTGGAAACGGCAGAGGTCAGACTCATCATCAACATTGTCTTTCTTGCGCACTTGCTTGCTTGCATGTGGCAGCACTCTTAAGTCGCATCCAAAGGCGCAAGGCTTCAAGCGATTCAAACGACTCAAACGATTTGTCTAAGCCACTGTCCAGAGTCATATAATGGGTGCTCCGGTTCTATTTCTGAAGCCTTGCGGTGGCTCAACTCTGCTGTGAAGTGATTGACCCGATGTGTGATATGATGTGAGCAAACGTGCTCCATGGTGCTCCGCTGAGCTCGAGGCATTTCATAGCTTTGCCGGCATGCGGTGAGGAGACTGAGGCGAGACTGAGGCTTCTTACTGACCTTGGCTGCTTTAGCGTTCCGCTAGATGCAACATCTTAATACATTTCATTCCCTTGATGAAGAGTTCGGATTTCATCAGCATTTTCACGAATGTTTTTTGACTTTTTGATTGATGATTCAAAAAAAATGCTTCAGTACAAGGGTGCCAACTTGAGATGGTCAATTTGAGATGCAGGATATCCCGGCAGTTGGACCTTGCCCAGATGCAGACCAGCCAAAGTATCTTCCAAACTGGATCAGGAACGCTTTGAGCTGCAATTCAAGATATTCAAGAATGATTCAAGAACTGGATGTTTTTTCTTCAGATTTTTGCGCGTGTCCAGATTTTGCATCAGATGTTGACGGTGGTAATTGCAGGGTAACTTTGACAGACTAGTTCATTTTGTGTTGGAAGGGCTGTTTTGCCACTCTGTCGTGATGTGCGTCTGCAGCTTCGATTATCAACAGATCAACAGCGTATCGCTGTACATTTAGGCAATGGCTTTGAGAGTCTGCGTGGCACGGAATCGGTTCTAATTTGATGTTATTGTAGTTCTGCTCGGCCAGTCAAACAACATGCTAAGAAACACTGCTGCTGTACATCACAGCTACATGGAGGTTGAAAAGAGCGAAATCTTGAATCTAGCTTGGGAACATGAAAACTAAGAACATCTAAGAAACATAACGAGAGTGAGCGATGATGACCAAAAGAACCTTGGGCCAATTGGGGTCTTGTTTGAAGCCTTGCATCAGTTGCCTGGCTTTTGTCTCACACATGGCGTTGCTTGACGGCGTGGGGGAAGGCGCTGCTGAGCATCTTGACAACAAACAAAGTTTTAAATTATTTGAAGCAAAACAGAAAGAACGTCGAAAGCAAACAAGATGCAACCTACGAACCCGAATGCAGTCACGTAAAACACGCTTGTGAAACAAGTTATTTGAACAGTCTTGTAAATTTTCCCTGTTACCGTACCAGTGCGCTGGTAGATACTGTGGAATGTGGAAGGGGGTGGAGTGCAAAGTGTGGAGTATGAGTATGAAGAAAGTGGAGTGTTGAGTGAGGAATGTAGTGTGTAGAGCGTGAAATGGGGATTGTGGAGTGTGAAGTGTAAAGTGTAAAGTAAGGGGTGGAAAGTGTGAAGTGTAGAGTGTGGAGTGTAAAGTGTAGAGTCTAGAGTGTAAAGTGTGGAGTGTAAAGTGCAAAGTGTGGAGTGTAGAGTGTAAAAAGCAAAGTGTGGAGTGTAAAAGTTTGGAGTGTAGTGTGTAAAGTGTGGAGTGTAAAGTGAAAAGTGTGGAGTGTAGAGTTTGAAGTGTGGAGTGTAGAGTGTAAAGTGTAGAGTGTGGAGTGTAAAGTGTAGAGTGTGGAGTGTAAAGTGTATATAGAGTGTGGAGTGTAGAGTGTGGACTGTAGAGTGTGGAGTGTAAAGTGTAAAGTGTGGAGTGTAGAGTGTAAAGTGTAGAGTGTGGAGTGTAAAGTGTAGAGTGTGGAGTGTAAAGTGTATATAGAGTGTGGAGTGTAGAGTGTGGACTGTAGAGTGTGGAGTGTAAAGTGTAAAGTGTGGAGTGTAGAGTGTAAAGTGTAGAGTGTGGAGTGTAAAGTGTAGAGTGTGGACTATAAAGTGTATATAGAGTGTGGAGTGTAGAGTGTGGAGTGTAAAGTGTAGAGTGTACATAAAGTGTAAAGTGTGGTGTGCCAAGTGTAGAGCGTGGAGTGTGGAGTGTACAGCGTACAGTGTGTAGAATGTGTAGAGTGTCCGAAAAAATTGCGCCTGCCACGCAAAATGACATTCCACACGCAACGGATCTGCGGCAAATACTGCCCCTAACATGCAAAATGACACTGTCACGATGTTGTACGCTTGCCACGCGATTTGCAGATTGTCACCACTTCACTCAGGCCTTTCAATGCGATTTGCCAAAAACCCGCAGGAGCACTTGCCTAAAGTGTTGCACTTGCCACGCAAAATGACGATGGAGGTATCCACAGTGCCGCGCTTGCCACGAGACATGCGGCTCATCTTCTGAAAAGAGCAAAAGTATTGCGCCTGCCACACAAAACATGGTGTAGCCTCAAAACGAGCGTTTCGTACGAGACTTGCTTAAATTTCAAACTTTGTTGCTTCAAAACCGACATTTACCCACGGGTTTTCTCATGAACCCTAGAACCTACCACCTCAAAAACGATGTTTCGTGCTAGGCTTCTGTCAATTTTCAACACATCTCACAAAATGCCACGCCTGCCGTGCAGTTTGCACGTGACCCAGCCCTGACAATGCGATTCGCAAAACACATGCAACACGACATGTCTGCGCCTGCCACGCGCAATGACGATGGAGGTCTCCCAAGTGCTGCGCCTGCCACGAAAAATGCAACTCATCTTCTGAAAACGACACCAAAGTATTGCGCCTGCCACACACGACGACTTTTGACACATTTTGAAACATGTTGGAATGTCACAAAGTGCCACTCCCGCCACGCGACACGAGGCTACGCGACGTTCGAAACTTCCAAAAGCGACCGCTTTTGCAGAACTCGCCATAGGCACGGCCACACGGTCCTCACGGACGGTTGCGGACGTTTGCGAACTGTTGCGGACGGTTGCGGATGGTTGCGGACGGTTGCGAACGGTTGCGCAACGTTTGGCGAACGCAGCCTCAACCCCCAGACAGAACATGCTATGCAGACAGCACCCTGCCACGTAATCCCTTCAAATCCCTGCATAACCAGTCTCAAACCATCGCTTGAGCTTTGCATGCAGTCATCTTTCGTTTCGAAACTATTGGGCCACGCGCTGAAAATTGCGGGAATGACTTTGATTTGAGTGCACTAAGGCTTCGAGCGTCATTGGAGGCGACTGCTGTGAAGCCACGAACCTTTGAACTGATAATAATTTAGATCCGAACAACAAGTGCATTTGTCTCTGTATCATCCGTCATCCATGTTGTTTCTACCAGACCCCACCTGTTTGCATCTTTTCCAATCTGTTTCATACTTATCGTTGTGAAGGCCTTGCTCCAAGAACTTGGCGCCAAACGCGAAGAAGCACGTGCTAGGCAGCACAAAGAGGCGCACAAAGAGCACTTCCGCTGAAGAACGGATCTACCAAGCTCACATCCATAGTATCTCAAATGCCGGTCGTGAAAGATGACCCATTTCAAGATGCTTCAAGATGCTTCAAGATGCTTCTAGATGCTCGACTCTTAAAATGCAAGCCAAAGAAATCAAAATTAGAAATGGTTTGAAAACTCAACAGGAGGCGAAGAGGCACAGAGCATTTAATTTGCAGACAGAAAGCACTGTTTTCATGTTGCCTTGATGGCGGAAGGAAGCTTCAGCAGAAGAGGCTGGCTTCTGGTTGCGTTGTCATGCTTGTCCCTTGAGTGAAACACGGCAAACTCCACATGATCTGGAGGAACCCTTTTCGCCCCAAAAGTCTTTACACCAACTTATCCAAAGTGAGGCTGCTAGACAAGCAGAAGAGGCTGACAGGACACCCTTATCATGCTGCCACATGGTGCCGCGTGTGGTGCCACTGTTTGTGCATGTCTATAGGGAAAACATGGGAAAACCCAATGTTGTCACTGTCAGGATTTCTATCCAGGATCCTAGCTTCTCTTTCACGGCCGATCTGGTGCGCAAGCGATGTGTTTCCAGAGTTTCTTTTACATGCGGATGTTGTTTCATGATGTTGTTTCAACACATTGCACGCAGTTCTAGATGTGAAAGCTGTGGTTGCCACAGGTTGTGAAAGAAGACACTGGCTTCGAATTGTGGATTGGATCTCTTGAGGAGACTGAGAAGTTGAGTGGCATTTTCAGCCTGAGTTTCAATACGGTGCACGGGGTGCAGGATTTTGCTCAAAAGAATTCGACGATTCTTCAAGTCGTTTTTTTGTCGAAGAAATTGCTCAAATCGAACGAGTTGCTTTAATCGCGCCTCGCTGTGACCCACCAGCCATTCTGAGCCATTCTGAGCCATTCTGGAGGATGCCCTCAATCTTTGCGCGCTACGTGATAGGGGCATTGATGCGGTCCTAAATTGTGCCAGGGATGATTGTGAAGGTCTTAGGGGCCAATCGCAGGTTGCAGTATACTTGTTACAGGATGCAGAGGAAGTCGATGTGTTGATGAAGGTGTTGTATGCTTTTTTTAAATGGTAGTTCTGATTTGTATAGTCGAACCTTGTTGAACCTGTCGTTGGTTTATGTTGGCTTTAGGTGAAGCTGAGATTGCCTGCTTTAAACCTCAGAGGCGTGATTTAAGGGCTTGGGATTCCAACTGGTAGGTTCTCCACGGGCGTGGGCTTCAGGTGTCAGAGGCGAGCGAGGGCTCATACTCGGAATGCCTCAATGGGGATGGTGCGAAGCCTAGTTGCATGCACACCCTGGCTTTGCCATCTTTGATTGCGGCTTTGATTCAATTCTGTAGATAGCTGTAGATTCTGTGCCAACTTTCACTGTATTCGCGAAGTGCCTGTCTCTCTCATATGAACTCTGGCTTTATTATCTTCATGTTCATCTTCATTTCACCAGCCACGTCTTGAATCTTTCCGCACCACCACCAGCGGTTGCGATAAGCAAGATATGAGCTATATGTAACGGTCGAAAGCATGCTGAAAATGCACCACATCTCAGGTAGAGGTTTTAGCCCAAAACTCTTGAGTCAAATCAATCAAGTTCAAACGAGATCTCATTCTCATCATTCTGATTAGTCTCATCATTCTCATCATTCTCATCATTAGGCTCCTTTGTATCGACGTCATTACTGCCGACGATATTTCACGACCATCCTCACCAACAGGCCAGTATCAGTATCATCTTCACAGTTTGTCATGAAGAGAAACCTTATCCTACTCATCCTCACCCTCCTAGCCTCACCAGAATCATTGTCACGACGTGGGTGTTGTAGTCGCTCTCATCATTATGATGATGATGATGATGGTGGTGGTGGTGGTCGTGATGATGATGATGATGATGATGATGGTGATGGTGATGGTGATGATGACATGATGATGATTATGATGATCACCGTCATGATCACCATAGCAATCATCATTAATATACCCTAATAATAATGATAGTAAGAATAACCATCATCGCAGTGATAGTATTGATAATGGTTGGGCAATAGTACACAAGAGTCATCATCAACACAACAATACTTAGAATCCTAATGCTCGTTTTGAACTTCATTGCCATCCTCATCTAATTCCCCTTGTCCAGCTGAAGTTGCCTTTAGGAACCGTGTGTAACACTTGTATAGGTGTTTTGATATTCCCCAAACAGTGTGTTCACACTGAGGGGTTCGTCCGGTAAGTGCAAAGGCCGGTGCTTGATAAGGGTGCCCCATCTGGCTTCTGGCATTTTTCCTGCAAATTCTCGCATAAACTGGCTCTTGCGACGTGTCCATGTGCATTTCGACCGGGCAGGATCGCACAAACTGTGTGTCCCGATCTTGGGGCGCGGCATTTTCCCTTGAATTCTTGCACAAAATGGTTCTTGAGACATGTCCATGTGAATCTCGACTGCACAGGCGCGCAGCACAAAACCGCGGTCGTGCTCTTGGTCCCTGCTATGACGATCTTGGAAGAGTCTCATGTTGCACACTTGGTGGCCCCAGTGATATCTGAAGATGTTGATCGAGGTCTTGTGGAGGTCCTTGTGAGAAGATGTTGTGAAGATCCTGACAAAATCCTGTCACAGGTCCTTGCATGATCTTGTACAGATCTTTATTAGAAGGTCTGACGCCCTCCAAGAGGTCTTTGCACGATCTTGCGCAGGTCCTTAGAAGAAGATCTTGTGGAGATCCTTAAAAATTCCTTTCTAAGCGGTCCTTGCGTGATCCTGTCCAGGTCCTTGTCAGAAGACCTTGTGGAGATCCTGGTCAGATCCTCTCTAAGAGGTCATTGCTTGAAGATCTGCAGATGCCATGTCCTAGACGTGCTTGTATGAAAGCTCTTCTGGAATGCTTTAGGGAGGTTCTTGTATCAAGATCTTGTAAGATCCTCTCCAGTAGCAGTTCCCTTTATAACGATCTCGTGCGCTTCTCTTGGGGGTCCTTGCATGAAGATCTTGGTCAAGGTCTTTTACAAGTCCTTGTGAGAAGCTCTTGTGGAGATCCTTGTGAAATGCTGCTAGAGGCCTTTGGATGATCTTGCTGAGAAGCTCTTGAAGAGGCGGCGGTGAAATCTTCTAGGTGTTCTTACACGATCTGGTACAGGTCCTTGGTCCTTGCGAGACGATCTTGTGGAGATCCGGTTGAAATCCTCTTCAAGAAGTGCGTGCATTAAGCTCTTGAAGATCCTCTGCCTTGGTGCCTGTATGAAAGTTCTCCTGGAATGATCCTCTGTCAGCATATATCTACATAGAAGGTCCTGCTGCTGCAGTTGGGATAAGAAAGACACTGAAACGTGAAGTTTAAAATATTAACTTTGGAGTTAAGTGTTTTCTCTTATATAGCCATGTGAATTCCACTTTTCTGCAGAGTTTTTACTTCAAACCGAAAAGTAGAATTCACTTCAGAGTTTATACTTTGTGCATGTCTTATCAAATTTCGGGGATTTGACTCTGAAATTAAATGTGTCCACCTGCTGTCTTTGATGGAATCAGTCATCTCCAAATTAAATATGGTCACTGAAGCGGTTGTTTTTCACGATACTTTGGAGTTTAGTTGTTGTTTGGCTGTAGCCTGGTAGCAACTCAAAATCTTGACTCTGTAGTTTTGCTTTTTGTGGAACCTCCATCATCATCACCATCGTCACTACGATCATCATGACCATCATGATCATCATGATCATCATGACTATCATGGTCGCCTTCATGATCATCATGATCACCATCATCATCACCACTATCATGATCACCGTGATCATCATGATCGCCATCATGAACATCTTTATCATCACCATCATCATCATCATCATCCTTATCTTCATTACCATCATCATGATCATCATGATCTCAATCACCATTAAGAGCAATGTACATGTTTCTTCATCAGCATCACCATCAGCTGCACATCAGCCACACAATAAGAATGCAATGTTAATGATAGTCAGCAGCAGCAGCAGCAGACACATGCACCAAAAGTCACGTTTATCATCACTTCCCTCTTTGGTGACATCATCCTGTGTTCATCATCATCATCATCATCAGCATCATCACACCACCACCACCACCACCATCATCATCATCATCGTCATCGTCTTCTTCTTCTTCTTCTGCTTCTTCTTCCTTTCTTCTTCTTCAACATCATCATCATCATCATCATCATCGTCATCGCCATCGTCATCGTCATCATCATCGTCTCTGTCATTGCCATCGCCATTGTCATTGTCATCATCATCATCATCATCATCATCATCATCATCATCATCATCATCATCATCAGCGCTCTCATCATCGCCATCATCATCATCATCATCACCATCATCATCATCATCATCATCATCGTCATCGTCATCGTCATCGTCATCGTCATCATCATCGGCATCATTTTTATTTCGACATCATCAGTTTCAACATCCGGAGGGTGGGGGAGTTGAGGCTTCCCCACTCCACCCCACCCCACCCAGCAGGCCAGAGTCAGGAGAAGATCTGATAGCGTGGCATGTCGGTGTGCAAGTGCAAGAAAAAGTTCATAGCGGTGGGATATAGTCCCAGTGTCTATGGCCAAGGACGTTTTCACACCCCACACAACTCCACACCACTCCACCCCACCCGCAAGAACACGTGATGTGAGCAGAAGGTTTAAAGTACAAGTGAGCGGTTTTCCAAGGCGCAAGTGAGACATAGGAGATGCAAGTAAGACAGAGTCGCAAGTGAGCTGTTTTCCAAGTCGCAAGTGACACGATCCCCTTGTAGAGAGGCTTGGGATATTCACTTGTGCGCATTGAACTGCGGGTCAAAGCAAGCCCAGCCAGTTAAGTGCTTTGAACCCAGATCGTCCCTGCAACTTTGAACTTTGAAGATAATATGTGGACATGTGAAACGCACGATTGGAAGACATTAAACTTCCAAGTCAATGGCGACCATTTTGTACCAAAACAACTTCCAATAAACTGTGAAGTTAATTGTTTTGAACTCTTACTTTTAGTCGCTTCCGTTGGGATAATGTCTAACCTTTTCTGTTACTGTTCAATAGCTACTGTTGCTTGTATTTGGTAAATTGACTTCCTATCCCCCCCAGTGTTTGGGGTCTCTTGCCGAGGTAATTTTCTGTGATTATTTTGTGGTCCACCATCGACCTTTGACCTCCTGGTTCACTCGGTTCACCTCCCTAAAGCGGCCTTGGTGCCGAGGAAGCGTCTCTAGGTGCTGGCTGGTTGGGCCTCAGACGTGACCAGGCCATCCGCATGGGTGATGTTCCAGTACGTATTGTTACACAAAATGTGTCAATATGTCGATGTATGTTACATGCTGGTGTAACACGGTACAGACAGTATGCACAGTATACGCATTTCATATTATGTTTATTTCGCGTTATATCCATATCTTGGATAAGGATCTGCCAACACAAGTGTGCATAATACAGCGTTTGTTTCACCCACTCACTAATGTACATTTTCTTCCTCCTTGCGCACAATAATTAGTGGACAATTTCGTTTTTTGGTACACTGTTTGCATGTGTTTAATGTGTTGGAGGCTTTTTATTGCAGTGGCATTTAGGTGCTCCCTTACCACCCTTTTCCAAACAGGTTCAGCCAAGCGCACGCCATTCCACTGATTTCTTCAACAAAACAACATTAGATGACAAGTATTGTGCCTGAACATTTGATTTTGAAGTAACTATGGTGCTATCACGTCCTCCAAACCAACTTCTGACAAAATCTTCAGAATACATTCAGTATATAAGAATGGTCCACAGGCTTCAAGGTGCCAACCCAAGCAATCTCAAGTCTGACGCATGCAAATGTGCAGATAGTGTAGAGCCTGGCACTTGTTTGCATGTATCTTTTCCATTCGCATCTAAAACAATTTCAATACTGTTGGATTTCTTGAATGTATGATTTACCTCCCCTACTTGACTCACAGGATTAAAGAGATTCTGGAAAACCATCTGATCCGTCCAGCGAGACCTGAAAGCACCCTGCGAGCCAAGACGGTCGTCAAATACCAGTATTACCGCGCAAGGCGTTGGCGGAAGTTTCAAAGATAGGGAACCTATACGATCTATCTACTGTATCTATCTATCTATCTACCTATCCTATCTTTCCTATCTATCCTATCTATCCTATCTGTCCTATCTACCCTATCTATCCTGTTTATCCTATCTATCCTATCTATCCTATCTACCGTATCTATCCTATCCATCCTATCGATCCTATCTATAACTATCTGTCCTATCTTTCGTATCTATCCTATTTATCCTATCTATCTTTTCCATCTTATCTATCATATTTGTCTTTTCTTTCTGGTCTATCTTATCTAGCTTATCTATTTTATCTTTCTTTCTATCTGATCTATCTAATCTTTTTTCCTACCTTATGTACCTTAACTATCTGACCTATCCTTGCTATCCTTTCTATCTTTCTTATCGTATCTACCTTATCTTTCTTCTTTCTCTTTCTGACCTTATCTATCTTACCTATCTTTCTTATTTTTCTTATCTTTCTTATCCTTTCTTATCTAGCTCATCTATCTTATCTATCTTATCAATCTATCTATCTATATGTCTGTCTAACTATCTATCCATCTATCTGTCTGTCTATCTATCTAACTTGTCCATCTATCTCATCTGTCTATCTATCTAATCTGTCTCTCTATCTACCTATCTACCTATCAATCAATCAATCAATCAATCTATCTATCTATCTGTTTGTCTGTGCATCTATCTATCGATCTATCGGTCTATCTATCTATCTATCTATCTGCCTATCTATCTATCTACCTATCTACCTATCTATCTACCTATCTATCTATCTATTTATCTATCTATCTATCTATCTATCTATTTATCTATCTATCTATCTATCTATCTGCGCTATCTATCTACGCTATCGAAGCTATCTAAGCTATCTAATCTATCTAATCTATCTAAGCCATCTAAGCCATCTAGTCTATCTCAGCTATCTAAGCTATCTAAAAGACCTAATCTATCTTATCTATCTTATCTACGTTATCTATCTAATCTATCTTTTCTATCTTATCTATCGAATCGATCTAATCCATCTAAGCTATCTAATCTATCTTATCTACCTAAGCTATCTGATCTATCTAATCTACCTAATCTATCTAATCTATCTAACCTACCTACTCTATCTAATTTATCTAACCCATCTAATCTTTCTAATCTACCTACTCTACCTACTCTATCTTATCTATCTAACCAATCTAATCTACCTAATCTATCAAATCTATCAAATCTATCCAACCTATCGAATCCATCTAATCTATCTAGTCTATGTAATCTATCTATCTATCTACCTACCTACCTATCTATCTATCTATCTATCTGTCTATCTATCTATCTATCTATTTATCTATCTATCTATCTTTCTGTCTATCTATCTATCTATCTATCTATGTATCTTGTCTATCTTGTCTATCTTGTCTATCTTGTCTATCTTGTCTATCTTGTCTATCTTGTCCTATCTTGTCTATCTTGTCTATCTTGTCTATCTTGTCTATCTTGTCTATCTTGTCTATCTTGTCTATCTTGTCTATCTTGTCTATCTTGTCTATCTTGTCTATCTTGTCTATCTTGTCTATCTTGTCTATCTTGTCTATCTTGTCTATCTTGTCTATCTTGTCTATCTTGTCTATCTTGTCTATCTTGTCTATCTATCTATCTACCTAATCTATCTAATCTATCTAGTCTATCTAATCTATCTAATCTACCTAATCTATCCTATCTATCTATCTATCTACCTATTTATCTACCTACCTAGCTATCTATCTACCTATCGATCTATCTATCCATCCATCTATCCATCTATCTATCTACCTTTCTTGTCTATCTTGTCTATCTTGTCTATCTTGTCTATCTATCTTTTCTATCTTATCAATCTTATCTTCCTAAGCTAGCTTATCTATCTTATCTATCTTATCTATCTAATATCTCTAATCTATCTAACCTATCTAATCTATCTTATCTATCCAATCTACCGACTTCTATCCACATCTATCCACATCTATCCAATCTATCAAATCTATCTAATCTATCTAACCTATCTAAGCTATCTAATCTATCTAAGCTACCTAAGCTATTTAAGCAATCTAAGCTATCTGAGCTATCTGAGCTATCTGAGCTATCTAATCTATCTAATCTATCTAATCTATCCTATCTACCTACCTACCTATCTATCTATCTATCTATCTCTCTACCTCTCTATCTCTCTATCTCTCTATCTCTCTATCTCTCTATCTCTCTATCTCTCTATCTCTCTATCTCTCTATCTCTCTATCTCTCTATCTATCTATCTATCTATCTATCTATCTTTCTTTTCTTTTCTTATCTTATCTTTTCTTATCTTATCTTACCTTATCTAATCTAATCTAATCTAATCTAATCTAATCTTATCTATCTATCTATCTATCTATCTATCTAATCTGTCTATCTATCTAATCACGAAAGGTAGCTCCAGAGGGGCTACCTTGAGTTTTACTTTACGAAGTAAAGGGGAGGGCGGCCAGCCCCGTTACCTGATTCTTCAGGAGATTGCTAGTCATTTTAGTCTGTTTGTCTATCTTTCTTATTTTTTCGATCTTTCTTATCATAACTACATCTTATCTTATCTATGTTATCTACCCAATCTATCCAACCTATCTATCTATCTATCTGTCTGTCTATCTATCTAGCTATCTAACTATCTAACTATCTAACTATCTAACTATCTAACCATCCATCTATCTATCTACCTATCTATGTATCTATCTATCCCTCCCTCTCCCTCTCTCTGTGTCTGCCCCTCTACCTATCTATCTGTCTGCATGTCCATCTGCCTATCTCTCTATCTCTCTATCTCTGTATCTCTCTATCTCTCTCAAAACGATGAAATTCTGGGAGACTCTTCAAAAAGTGGAACGCAGAAACCCTCGGAGACTTCCTTCAAAACTTAAAGGTTGAGTGCAGAGCTGACGGCCTCGCGTCAATGTGTTTTGTTATTTTTCCACCTCTTTTTGTAAAGTAGAGCGCCTGCCACGAAAAAGTGATGCCAGGTCATACGAAGTGCTGCACCTGTCATGCAATTTCAATATCATTTTAGCAAGCCTGAAAGATTTGACGTTCCAAAATGGAACCCTTCTCAGGAAATCAGCGCCCTGACCTCCCAATATGTCTGTTGGAGATGTCTCTTGTATTGCGCCTGCCACGCGTCCATGTTTGTAGATCCTCTTGAAACGCCCCACGCATGCCATTGTTTTTGAAACTGGGAAAAACCATCACGTTTTGCTTCCTTTTTGCGATGTGCAGAATCCATTGCACCTGCCACGCGCAATGAGGGTTCAACATCCAAAAGTGGTCCGGACGTGGTATGTGTTTAGCATGTTGCCGCGTGCGTTTTTTGTGCAGCCAAACTGCCAAAAGTGCACTGGACGTGGTGTGTTTTTACCAGTTTGAATTGGACATGTGCTTTGCGCCACAGCCGCGTGCTCTTTCTCAACGGTGCAACTCCAAAAATTTTCCGAACATCAAGCTCTTTTGACATTTTGGCTTCGAAAAGTGCTTCGCACCACAACCGCATGCGCATTTTCGACAGGCTTGACTGCCAAAAGCACTCCACACCCAAGGTGTTTTGTGACATCTTGACTTGGAAGCGTGCTTCGCGCCACAGCCGCGCGTAATTTTTTAATCTCTTATCCCGCAAGTTGGCTCCGCATCCGCCGCTTTGGCAAGCCTACTTCTTGATCCTTCGGAGCCACGCCACACTGGAAAAACGTGAGTTTTCTACCTTTTCGCGCGCTTTGATTTTTCCCCAACAGCAAAACGTTGCTATGTTTTTTTTGCCCAGATTAGCTCCAGTGCAATCCGGTGCAGCTTCAACACCAGGTTCCGGACAAGGTTCCGGAGGGTTCCGGTGCAGATACCTCGGGAGGTTTCGGAGGGTTCCGGTGATGCCTGATACCTTGTGAGGTTCCGGGGGGTTCCGGTGCAGATACCTTGTAAGGTTCCGGAAGTTTCCGGTGCAGGTACCCGGTGAGGTTCCGAAGGGTTACGGTGCAGATACTTGGTTAGGTTCTAGAAGGTTTTGGTGCAGGTACCTGGTGAGGTTCCGGAAGTTTCCGGTGCAGCTACCTGATGAGGTTCCGGAGGGTGTAGGTGAAGATGCGTGGTGAGGTTCCGGGGCAGATACCTTGTGAGGTTCCGGAAAGTTCCGGTACACAGACCTTCTCGGAGAAGATGCTTGGTGAGGTTCTGGAGGGTTCCGGTGCAGATACCTTGTGAGGTTCCGGAGGGTTCTGGTGCAGATGCTTTGTGAAATTCCAAAGGGTTCCGATGTTTCTTTGTTGTATAAGCGTTTAATTTTGAGTTTATTTCTTGCTCTCTCTTCTCTGGTTTTTACACCTGTTGCTGCATCTGTCCATATGTCTGAAGCTTGACTTCTATACTTCCTTCGAATATGCGGAGTGTACATTCATAGCCAAATGTGGTGAAACATGTGTTGTGTGTATATATCTACACACGCACACACACACACACCCCAGCTGCGTCGCGGCAGGTGCTTATGAAACAAATGTATATTTCCAAAGGTCTTGATAAAGTTCATGAATTTTGTTCCTTGAGACCACCACTTCACTTGATCCCTTTGCAATTGTTCAGACACGGCATTGAATGGCCGCCATGAAATCGGGGGCTCAAGTCCCATTGGTCAGATTAGATATTCAGATAGAGCCTTGGATGGGTGACCTCTTTTCGTCGTACTGGCACGTGCTGAGTGGATTGTCTCATTTTCTTCCAGTCAGTGAGTGCATCTGCTGGTGTGAAGGAGAGATGCAGACCAGCGACACCTGCCCTAGAGTGACCAAAGCGGTGGTGCGGCCCAAGACCAATCCCGATGCCCTGCTCAACCTCAATGAACCGCCATCGTTCGTGAAAACGAAAAAGATCGCGTTGTTCCAATTTTGAGACAGCGGTCCTTGAAAGCAGCATCCATAAGAAGAGGAATCGCCGCAGAAGGCAGCAGGGCTATAGGGGGCTCCCAAGTCCACTTCCACTTGAAAAACCAACCCAACCACAATTCGAAGCTCTCGCTTGACTGCTCCTGGGATGATGTGGCTCTTGCCATCCAGCCAGCGGTAGATGAACTTATAGGTGTGGCGGAGACAGCTCATGCCGGCCCTCTGGATGGAGAAGTAGTGGACAATGTGCCCAGCAAAGACCCGAAGACACTCGCTGGTTACCTTCTTCAAGCGGAGCAAGTGTTTCAGGCCAAGGTAGGGCCTCCAAGATCTCTTTCGGGTGCGTTGCAGCTTGCGGCTTTTTGTGTCGAAGACCACTCCAACATTGGTGACATCAGCAGTGCCTTTTTCCAACAGAGCCGGCCCTCTCCAGGGTTTCGACAGCCCGGCCAAAGGAAGCATGCACCACGCTCTGAACAAAACCAAACACGGCAGTGTTGTCGACATAGACGCTCCCCAGTGGACCCAACCTAGGATCGGGAGCCGCGAGGCCATCTTTGAAGAAGCAGGTCGCAGGAAGACTCTTGGACATACCGACATACCATACTCAACCGCAGTGTTGCAGAAATGCAAGCCCAGGCCCAACCATGAGGCATCGCCAGGAAAACAAGAAAAAGAGGTTCATCTGGACCAACCTTCTCGCTGCGAGCTGTATCAGGGTTCCACACCTCGGTCACATTGAAGTCGCCAGCAAGGACGGGATCGTCCAGCCCAAAGCACTGAACTGCTAAAAGGCACCACTGACATCATCAGTGTCTCCAAAAACCTGTGCAGGTAGTGCAACTGCCCCACCATAACCTGAAGCAGTGAGGCCAAGGCCATCGTGCTCAATCACGGCATCAATCTAACTGACCGCCACGGCGCCCCCGGTCTTCGGCGGACGGCGATGGCAGGCATTGGGCATCCAAGCATCAATGATGAATTTGATGCCCCGCCTCTCACTCTTCCAAACAAGGAAAATGCCCACCTTGGTGCGAATGCTCCTCCTGAACCCAAGCAGAGATTTTGCTGCAAGTTTCTTGTAAAGGCCAACCCTGGTCTCACGGCACGATCTCAAAGTCTCATACCAGTATGGCTGGAAATCTCCATGTTTGGCGTCAATCTCCACAGGGGTGCGGACCAGGTACTGCTCAGGGTCCACGAGATAGTCAGCTTTGGCAGGCGGAAGCAATTTTGTCGCTTCCTTTGGGATGGTATTCGGCTTGGTGACCTTCAGTAGGTCAGGTTTGTATGGCGCAACAGAGCTCTGATTCAGTGAGTGCCATCACGCCCTCAAAGCAAAACTTCGGGTTCAAGCCTTCAGGGCACCCACCGGATTTCCTGATCCTCCTCCCTATCCTGTTCAAAGCGGACTGTTGTGGAGCGGTCGCAATGCCCCTAGGCTGATGCCCTAAATCAAAAATGCCTCGCCTGGAAGTGGTCGGGGTAGAACTCCCCAAAGAATTGAGGCCATCTACGGCTTCATTGATCCTGCCGACTTGACGTCTGCTGAAACTATGAGCACCAGCATCTCCAGTCAAAATGAATGAGGATTGAGCCCGCCACTTCAACCAATGCAGACGAGGCAGAGGGAGCACTTCGTGGTTCCTCTGTCCAGATTAATTCCCATGCAAACTGCCAGGGTTTTGATACGGGCCGCCCGCAGGCGGCTCATGTCTTGAATGCGCCTTCGGGGGTGCCGCCCTTCTTCTTTTTCTTCTTCTTTTTGCCAGTCCCATCATCATCAGAGCTGTCACGATCCTGATGCTTGTCGGCCTTCCTCCTCTCAGCAGCCTGCTCCTCTCTCCATTGCCTCGTCGACTTCAAGGTCTTAGCTTCTGCTTCTTGCTGTTCAGCCATCCACTCAGCATAGCCAGCTGCTCTGGTTCCTCCAACTTCATCGACCGCCCCACGAGTGTTGTAGTCGATGGAGTCGAAAGTTGGGTGGCGAGGGTTTCTGCGCACTGCAACTTTGATTTCAAGGATCCTCCTCACCACCTGCTCAATGCTGGCCAAATTGCTGCAATCAACCTGGTCATAGGAGACGGCAAGCTTCAGGATGCCAAGGAGGTTCTTGTCCTCATGGGCCGCCGCGGGGTTCTCGCACAGCCCGACTCCTGCGCACAAAGCTTGAGTGGTAATTGGCCAGGTCTCTCCATTCTCAGAGATTCAAGGAACTCCCTAAGGTCATCTGGCGCTTTCCAGATCCAAGCCGGTGGCAACCAAGAAGCCCCAAATCTCCTGAATCTCCACCTGGCAGTCCAGGCCGCTTCCGCTCACTCCACGCATCGTAGTCACTGACCAGCTCCAACGTCAGGATCTCGCCCTCCCATGTGATGCAAACGCTTCTGAACATCTCCAACCCCCAGGACAATATTCGCCCCATCCAACAACTCTCCAGGAGGAACAACCTCGCCAAACCGCTTGGAGTCAACATCAGCAACTCTCCAATGCGCATCAGTCTGGGGAGGTTCACCAGGCGCCGCACTGGGTCGGTCAATGCACCCTCTGATGACAGCCAAGGCATCAGCCTGACGCTTCAGCTCGGCATACTCATCCATCATGTCATAATTGTCAGGGATGTACATTCGACCAGCTTGATCGGCAGGGTATATGGCGTTACGGGCTAAAGATACCACAGTCACCCCATCATAGTTTTCTTCATAGACATCGTGAGCGGGAGTCGATATGATCCATATGGCTCTGCCTACCCTATACCACAGAATTCTATGATGCATATCCAAACGTTCACCGGGGAACTCAGCCAAAATTTGCATCTGAGGGATATCCAAAAGTTCTCTGAACTACAGCCATGGTTTCGTCTAAGCTTCAGGGCCGCGACGCCGGCGAGGAACAGCAACTGCTTCCCCTTGCACGGCCAGGTGTGGAAGGCAAGGTCTGCCTTTTTGGAATCGAGTGCTCAAGGCAAGAACACTGCTTGCTCCGGTGCCCAGTCCCAGTAGAAAGATGAAAGCCAGCAGCCAGAGAAACCAGAAACCAGAAACGAAAGGAAGGTGATCCTTGAGATGGAGAGGTGGTAGTCAAAGTCTGAGTTGTGATCGAATCCACGCAATGATTCAACATTCTTGGTCGGCCGACTTCCAATTTTGGGGATTGCGTATGTGAAGTGGCTCTGCGGAAGAATGGGACTTCCAGTCCCTGATTGTGGCAAGATAGAACTTGGCAGCCACAGAGACAGTGGCAAGTCAGCGCATGACAGGAGCTTCTTGGAGTAGGAGCTTCTTGGAGTTGGATCTCGTTGGGATTTCTTGAGGCATCCCGCTGGAGGACTTTGGTGAAGCGAAAGTGGAAGCACAAAGAGGACATTCACATGAAGGAGGGCAGGGTGGCTTTGATGTCGCTCCGACGGGCTTGCAAAGATGTTTCTCTTCATGGGCGCCGCCTCCTTTGCCTTTGTGATAACCTCTCACCTCTGATGGCTTTTGACAAAGGACGGGCCCGAGATCTCTCCCTCTTGTCGCTCTGCAGGAGGGCGGGAGCACTTCAAATTGCTTGCGAAGTGAGATGGCATCTCCGCCACGTAGAGAGCTCGAGAAACCAATAAGATAGAGACACTCGAGTTTTTGTGCACTCTTTCAAAAGAAGAATCCGGTCAGTCACAGATCATGCCGGTGGTCAGAGATCGTTTTGGGCTGGACGAGACCCCCGGCGACCCGGATCCCTTAGTCAAGAGTCAAGAGTGGCCTGCCAGACCCTTTGCCGGGCAGATCTTCGTCAGCGCGGAGGTTTCGGCCTACCGCGAATTTCCAAGTGGCAGAGGTTGATCATGTGGCCGAAGGCCGTTTCGGCCGGAGTCGTCCCAACGAGTGTGCTGAGAATGGCAAGGTCATTTTGGCCCAGATCATGAATGCCGTGAGAAGATGCAGAGGACATCTCGATCAGCTTGTGCTCAGATTCGGAGGGCCATGACTTTGGCCTATGGACTGGCAGCAGTCAGTCGTCGTCTTCTACCCGAAGCTTGAAGCAGACACTGCCCGAAGCATTGAGGTCTGCGCAAACAAGCCCCAGCAAGCCAGTGTGAGGTCAGTGTTTCTTAGAACTTTTTTAGTGGTAGTGCAAGGCTCACTTCTGCTGTTCATTCTCAAGGCATTCGTTGTGGAATACCCTTTGACCTCAAGCTTGGGAAGGAGTATGACCTCACTCGACATGATGTTCAGCGTTTGATTCTCGATTGGATTTATTCGCATCGCATTTGGTATGTTCATCTAGGAACTCCTTGCACTGTTTTCAGCGTGGCGGGCGAACCCAACAATCGGAGCTCCAGCTTGTGGGCTGTCCGCGCTCCTACACTAGTCTGTGGAATTCTGCGGTTGCAGAGTGTGTGGTTCTAGCCGCAAGTGAGCAGCGAAAGCGTGCAAGAGACAGAGCGCGCAAGGTTCATGACACTCAGTCTGGTTTTCTGAGGCGAGCTCGGCTTCGTAAAGAGGTCACCATGCAGGTGCCTGGAAAAGCTTTATAAGTTTCTGTGTGGCCAGCTCTCGGTTTCCCGCAGTTACTTCCTGCTTTGTGAGTATGCACCAGCTAGATCAGTCACTTGAAGCCTTTGCAGAAGATCAGTTTGTCCCTGGAGCATCCAAGTACGTATTCACATGTGCCTTGCAGAATGCCAATGTTGAATACCCATGTTGGCCTGCTTCTAGTTGGGCCAACTACCCTTTGAGCAAGTCAGCGAAGAAAGGTTGGACCAATCTTGAGCCAGGTGCCTCACGAGATCCCTGCCCTTTCGAAGTTGCCTGTCTTATTGCAGATGACATGCTGGAAAACGAGGGCGCCCATTTCAGCGCAGCTGTCGTGAATTCTTTTCACACAGATTTGCGTCCTGGGAAGTTGTGTGAGCTTGTGCGCTCGAATGTTATTCCTCCAACAAACATGTCACGATATGCATTTTGGACACTTCTTCTTCACCCTCAAGAGTCTGGAGTTCCCTCGAAGGTTGGTGAATTGAATGACAGTCTTGTTTTTGTTGCGGCTGATCGTTTGTGATTTGGTGAGGTTTTAGGTCGTCTGTACTGCAAGCATTTTAGCCATGGTCACTCTCCGCTTTTCCTTTTTCCCTCAACAAGTTTGAGAAGTGTTTTGCTGACGCGCCTTGGATTGGAGAAGCTGAAGTTGTCTCCACAGTGCTTACGCCATGGTGGAGCCGCCCATGCCTATTTGATGAAGCACCGTAGTCTCTCTGACATACAACAGCGTGGGTGTTGGGGCTGTTTCGGTTCAGTGCGTAGGTATGCTAAGCATGTTCGCACCAGCAAACAACTAGGCCTTCTGACTCATGCTCAGCAAAGACGTGCAAAACAAGTCGTCTTGACCCTTCCCAGGAAATAGGTAAGGGCCCTGTAGACTCCTTGCTGCACAGACTTCAAATAATGGAAGGATTGCGGAGTTTCATTTTATTTGCTTGAAATTTCAGGTGCGCCTTTTAACTTTAACAACAGCGAGTCTGCCTCGTGTTGTGTGGGGTTTCCTCTGTGAGATTCGAGAACATCTCATCTCAACAGCAGTAGCAAGGCCTTGATGACAAAAGGGGCGGCATATGACACAGTTGATGTGCCATCAGTTTGCCATGGGATGGGAAACAGTCGTTGGACATTCATGCTGAGTGAAGTGGACAAATTGTGTTGAACAGATCTTAGTGGTGCATGTGTTTTTGTGGTAAAATTGTTAAAGTACACTTCCGCTGCACAACCTCGTTCAGCATGGTTTGGTGGTGCGTCGCCATCCTCATAAACTTGGACACACACCAATGATGATACTACATGCAAACAAAACTGTTTGTGCATGTGCTCCAATGACGCCAACTGTGAACTTGTTCGCTGGCTGCAGATTTGGAGTCTTGCCAGTTTTGACGCTGATTGGTACTCTGACGTACTGGAGTGAGTGCCTGAGCAAGACAAAGGTGATAAGGCAATTTTGGTCCGCAATACTTGAAGGTATAGCAGTATAGCAAAAATAATAAGAACAAAATTTAAATGAACAAGGAAAGGCACATGAAACGTTTATGAAAAAAGGCAGGTGCAAGAGGTGTTCTATTTCACTCCGAAGCAGTGACTTAGAACACAAAACGAAACAGGAAAACACAGACTCAAATAAATCCTGCAATGACTGCAATGCGTTTGAGTCACAACAAACTGTCCTATCAGCCTTTTAATGATTGTCCAGGCTGGAAGCCTTCAAATATGGCGCGCTTCCAGCACGTGATGAAGTCCGACTGCTAGACCCCATTTGAGTTTGAGTTTCAGTGCTTTCAGCTGCAAATGACATCATGAGCCGAGTAATCGAGTAAGTGAGTGAACATTGAACATAGAACATAGAAGAGCTAGGGGCTCCCAGATACCTCGCTGTATCTCGCTGTCAATTGCTGTAGCTCTAACAAAGTAGCATCCTTGGCAAGACAATGTCAATTGCACACAATGCAGACATATGCAAACATTTTTTTGTGTGTAGCTCTGCAATTTCTAAGGCCGGGTATGATATGCAAGATCACCGCCAGGAGGTGAATTGCAGTGCTGCTGCGGGATTTTGTATTGACTGCAGTCAGAGAGATAACATGCCTTGTCTCTGTTGATCTGTGTTGATCTGTGTTGATTTGCACATCGCCTCTGGAGCTGGCTCAAATCATGGATGCACTTGGAACTAAGTAGTTCGCAAATGCACAACTCGAAACACGCAAGTCATATTCCGTACTCTCGCCGACTTTCACATTTTAAGACCAGAATCTCAGACAGTGCCGGCGACAATTGTGCGATATCGTGTGATATTTTGTGATGCGTTCTTAGATTGTGACAATTTGCAAGTTGAATTCGGAACTCTGCTGCTGAGTCACTCTGGTGACGTCCTGTGTTGTCTATGGCCTCGAATCATACCACTCATACCACTCCTCCAGAGGATGAAATCACTAGGAGCATTTGGATATGCATCGCTTCGGATGCAAGCGATTCAGAGACACCGATCCTTGCAGATCCTGGGCAGGATGCAAATTCAATGTGTTCACTAACAGTGTTAAGCCGTTAAGCGAAGTGTTAAGAGATGTTACGAGTCAAGTCTGAGTCAAGCGTATTATTTACTAAAAGGGTTTGAAAGTGTTTGAAACCTCTAATCACCTGGACGCTGGGGAATGTTATCACTGTGATCACCAAGAAACATCGTTTCGAAGTCTATCACCTACACCTTATCTTGGTGAAATAGAACCCAAAATCACCAGAAGCAGTCACAGTCTCATGAGGGAGTGAAATGGTTTCCAAACGCGAATCAAACCCGATACTTCTACGGAAAGAATCTGCCTCCACTGAAGGCTTCTGAGTGTTTTACCTCATGAACAGTGGCACTTGAAAACAGCAGCTCAGCAGAACTTTTGCCCAATAGAAGCATCACGACACATGGTTCGAACGAAGAAAAGAGGAGATCAGAGAAATGGGCAATGGATCCTGTAAAATAGAAACTAGCACACATTTATCAACAGTTGGCCCAACCATGCTATGAGAATTCAGAGCCGCCAGTGTATGTGAAAGTAGATACTTCGATTGCAACAGGCTTCAATTATACTTCATTGCAATATCAGTTGCAACTGTTGCAACAGCAACACTTCTGCATTGATCGGTTTGGAATTCAGTTTTATTTAGACAGATTAACACGGTGTGTACATATAAGTCAAGAAGTACTGTAACAAAGGACCACGTCAAACCAGCAAAATTCATTTGAAATGAAAACCGGAATCACAAAAGAAACTAAATGCAAACTGATGTATTCATTCGTGTGTTTTCATTCCCTCGTCGATGAACTCTTTTCTTTGATATCATTTTACTGCACTTTCACTCCCTTCCTGCTAGCAAAGGAGAGCTGGGGAAGCAAGCCTGACCAGACGGGCTAGACAGGCCAGGCAGTCTTCAAACTTGGGTTCTGCTTGCATACACAGATGGTTTTGATTGTGCATAGGCAAAATCGTCATCAGCTTTCTTTCCAAGTCTTCCTGCTTCGAGAAAGGGTATTGGCAGTATTTCATGGACATTTTGCAAAGGCCATGGGCGATTTCAATCTCACACGGCGACTTCTGGCTCTCTTGGCAATGCAGGAGGGCTGGCCGTGTGTTTCATCTCAGTGTTTTGGAGCCATATAGAGCCACACGGGGCCATGTGGAGCACACGTCCTTCGATGATGTGTCAAGCAGGCACGTTTCTAATCGCTCCAGACATCTTGGCACCGCGGAGGTCTTTTCTCTCACTCGACCTGCACGTAGTCGAGCAGCCTCACCTTCACAGCGCCGTTGCCCATGCAAGGATTGCGAGGAAAAGAGGCGGGATAAATTGTGGGGGTTTGCTGGTCCAAAGAAGTGCTTTTCGAGGTGCGGAAGATTTCAGATAATTTCAGTGCATTTAGCTTCTCACAGCAATTGTACTTATGAGGTTCTTTCTTGGCTTCCCAATGCATTCTTTTTGACCCTGCAATTCTCACTTCCGGCAAGCCTTGCGCTCCCATTTTAATGCACAAAATTTGAGGTTAACCTGTGAGCAATCCATATCAGAGGTATCTTGGCTTTTCATTCTGACACAACTTCCATTGCGCTCTTCTTGGATCCTCTCTGCTTGAATGGCTTGGTATCGGTTTCGTTAGGGTGCTAGTCGCGAGTTCTTTCCTTTTCGGGAGTGTAGGAGATGAATTCCTAGTTTTTACATTTTATTGTGTGCTGGAATTCAAGTGTTTGTAGAAATCATATGCAAGCAAGCAGCATTTCAACATGGCGTTTGTAGGTAATTTTTGATAAAAAAGACGCAGCACGATTTGAATACACAATGATACAGCTAGTGGGTGCCCGATTGCTTCCTCTGGCTTTACTCCAGCACTGCAGTCATACCCATCAGCTCAGTCTTCAAGGTCAATTTGCAAATGTAGTTGATGTGCTTGTCCTGTATGCATTGTAGAGAATTGTGCGGGGTCAAGGTTGAGAAGTCACGAGATCTGGTTTGCGTCTATGCCATCTATGCCATCTATGCCATCTATGCCAGGTATCGTCGAGGAACTTGCGATTTGTTTTCTTCACAGAGCCCACTTTGTCCTGCGATGCACTTCGTACTTCTGCCGATTTGATTTCCACAGCCAAGGGCAGGTGGGATCTGAGGAGGGGGAAGTGGGTGTGAACACGGTGTGAATGGCAGATATTCACCAGAATGCACTTTCTCAAGGAACACACACAGAGACATACCATGTACCTTCGGAGCCAAACAACTGCAAAAAAGCAGGGTGTCCAAAATAACATGTTTTTACCCAAAAAAAATCTGGGTTTCTGGATTTAAAGATATTTTAAGATATTTTAAGATATTTCAAGATATTTAAAGATATTTTAAGATATTTTAAGATATTTTAAGATATTTTAAGATATTTTAAGATATTTTAAGATATTTTAAGATATTTTAAGATATTTTAAGATATTTTAAGATGTTTTAAGATGTTTTAAGATGTTTTAAGATGTTTTAAGATGTTTTAAGATATTTTAATATATTTTAAGATATTTTAAGATTTGTAAAACTTTTGGGCTCCAGGTTTTGGTTTAGAATGCTGTGTATCACTCGTTGCTCGGCGCGGCCCATCACGTGATGCGATTTGAATCTGGCCACAAACTGTTCGACATGTTCGGCAAATGCCTGCTTTGGCAATTTAGATAATTTGTCTAGCTTGCAAATCCCGTTATATCCAAATCTCAATCAAAAATTCAAACAGCTCAAAGAGCCGTCACAATTTAAAGATGGTGCATCTGCATCAGTTTGCTTTGGACACGCCAGAAAGAGGGTAGGCGCGCATGACGAAAAAACAGGTTTTCTATTGCGGGTTTTCACGGGCTCCGGATGGATTTTTATTGGTTACGGACGGGTCACGGACGGGTTCCCAAAAACCAGGGTTTCCCCGTTTTACGGTTCCTACGGGTCTTGTCCGGGTGTTTACGAGGGTTTCACAGTGTTCCTATGGGTTCCTGCTTTTTCCCCACTTCAAATCCCCTATTATAAGTTTGGTTCAAACAAAATTATGGGATGTTATATATAGGTATATATACCAATGCATCGAACTATGTCGAACCCGTTTTGCAAAGGAGGTCCAATTTGAATGGTCCTATTTTACTGGTACATTGAAATTGCGGGGCTCCAGCATTCAAACTGACTTGGGAGCTAATCCTCCCCAATCTTTGGGAATTTTGAGATCGATACCCGGAGGTATTTAATGGTATTTGTAAACAAAATTTAAGACAGCATAGTCAAAAAGGCAGCTTACTTCTAGGCTCGGGGTAGAGGGCCTGTAAGCGGCGATTTTGCTGGGAGGTGTGCTAAATTTGTTTGAGGGTAGGTAGGTAGGGTCGAATGTGATGCTGTGAAGTGTGAAGTGAGAGTAAGGTCGAATGTGAGCATCGGGTAGGGTCCAATGTGGGGTGCATACCAGCTTGTAACATCTTGTAACATCTTCTTCATATTCGCTGGATACAACATCAGGTTCAGGAAAAGTGGTCGTGTTTTGCGAACAACCTGTTTTTTTTTTTGCAGGAAAACCTGGTTATTGTGGCATGTCCAGTCAATTACCTGGATATTGGATTTCGATTCCCAGGTAATCCCAGCTATATAGAATATGTATATATATATATATAATATTACCCCCTAGATTATATATTTTGCCCATAATGTCCCTGTTTGACCATGCTTGAACAATCTTGACTATATATATATATATTTTTCCTGTCATGCACGCCTCATTCGCTTGGCTGCTTTTTCCTGTCAGCGTATGCGTTGGGCAGCCAGTGGCTCCAATTCACCGGGCTTGTCGCCATCCGGGTTCGGGAGGTTGTAGAAGAGCGGGACTACAACCGGCTCCAGGGTGCCAGGCTTCTAAGGGAGTTCCAAGATGTTCCAAGCTGAATGGTTCCACGTGGTTCCACATGGTTCCACATGGTTCCAAGGTTGGCCTCTAAGGTTCCAGGGGATTTTGTGTTTCCTCCAACTCCCACAAACTGGTGGCTTTGCATTTTTCATTTCTCAGGCAGGGTTCAAGCCAATCCCGGACAGGGAAGACCACAACTGCAATTTGATGATGTGGTCTGAGTTGCGTTTCTCTCTTGTGGCATACTTTCCTGTTCTTGTTTTTCAAACAACACTTGTCTTTCGGGATCTCACGCGGGCTTAGTGGTCTCAGTCGCTTGCAGTCATTTACATACAATTTCACTTCGTATCTCAATTCCGTACCTTCCATGATGAATTTTCATACTTCATTTCCATCGAACTACCCTGTCATCCACGAGTCTGCCGGTACCCCATGAGTTTTGTGACTAGCACAGGTAGAATTGTTTCCTTCTGTCTTCATGGCTTCTTATATAATAACTTATGAGTCCTGCTCGGTGTGGACTTGGACAAAATCAGAAGTGCCTGCTGCCTGCTGACAATCGTTCTCGTTGGTGTAACTTCATTCTACCTCAAACCGATATGAAGTCCCTCAAAGATTTCAGTTCATCAAGACTCTTCTTTAAAATCTTCGCATTTGCAGGTTTCGAGCAAGCGCTTTGGTCGAAGAACTTTTTGCTGCACGAACGGGATCACGCCCAACTGCTGGCTGCAGATCCTAGGCTTTGTGTGGCTGTCCCTTGGAAATCCTTGGAAAATTATGGTTTGCAAAGTTTGCCCCTGGGTTGCATCACTGTAAAGCGCAGCCTGGGTCTTACTCAAAGGAATTGAGCTATACTCAAATGGACTTAGCAATGACTATCATGACTGGGCTCAAGTTTAACTACAGCTCTTCACAGTCTTGGATGCAAGCCCAGATGAGGATGGGAGACTGGAGAGTGGTTTGCTGCTGTTCTAGAGGATTCTCGGCACAACCTTCTGTTTGAGATGTCCATAAGGGCCTTGACAAACTTGGTTTGCAAAGTATACAAAGTTTACACGTCAATGTTCAGATTATTTTTGGACAACCGTCCGATTGGTGGGAGCATGTCATGAAGTTGGGATCTTGCCTTTGGACAATTCTTCTGACATCATGTGCCAAAAAGCTTTCTCAAAATGGGCCTGGACCATCATGGATCCGTTGATCAATAGTTAGTTATATATTCAGTGATTCACCAGGTTGCCAGCAAGCGGATCACTTTTCGCTTGTTCGCATTCTAATCTCAGACTCTGCACTTTACTTTGAACAAATTTCAACAAGGTTTTTCCATCACTTTGCCTCTGGAGATTTATCTGAGAGTCATGACCTTGGAAGCAAATGCAGTTCATTTTGTCCTCTGTGAATTTCTTCGTGCCATTTTGAAACCGAAAAAGTGAATGCACTCGACGCAACCAGCAGATTCCAAGGAAATGACTGGCCGACCTGTCTCCTTTTACCATGGCGCCCCAAAGAAGGGATCTGAGGAATCTGAGGTGGTTCAATATCTGGAGGCAACACTTAAGGATCCGATCCAAGGTGCCACATCTTGGGGTTTCAGAATCTAGACTTCACTTCGAAGAAATTTCTGTTTCATGTGCTTTCTGGGAAAAGGATTCCAATCCGTTCCTTTCTTGATTGGCAGAATCCGGAAGGTTTTGGTTGATGCGAATGGCAAAAAACATGTGCTTTGGAAGAAACCCAGGTTTACTACTTCATCGACTGAAGCTGAAAGGCGCAACCACATGTCGCTTGGTCGATGAGTCTGAAACTATGACGAATCCAGCTGCTCAGCTGATGATTGTATTGCTTGAGTCATCATGCTTGTCATATTTTTGTCATATCTTCTCCATATCTTGTCATCACGTGAACTTTTCAAGTGTGTCTGTGGCTCAGAGCATGATTGATGGACCTGGGACAATGGGTGAGGATAAGACTGTGCAATTTGAATACACAACTTTACACAACCTTGAAAACTGTGCAATAAAACATGCTGATTCAAACTAAGTTAAGTCAGGAGGGTGAACTAGTTCTGAAGTTCTTTAGAGTCCCTGCAGATGCGACCTCCTGTACTCCATATTGGTTTCCAGGGCAATTGACATCAATTGACTTGTTGTATTTTCTCAGTTTCTTCATTTTTCCTCAATTTTTGTTTTCTTGGTGGCAGTCTGACATCTCATGCTGTCGCTCCTGTCGCTCCTCCTGCTCTTCCTCCTACTCCAGCCGCTAGTCTTTGTTTTTCCCTCGATATTGCGCCGAAATGAATTGTATTGGATTGTCTACTTAGTCCACTTTAGTCTACTTCTTCAATTCTCAGTACCAGGTTGTGATTGACGGACACAAGTACACCACCCGCGGATCTTTGATTTATGGCCGCACTATGGATCAAAAGCGGCCTTACACGTATAGTGTGAGGCTAGGCAGAATTGTTGCAATTGTGTCATATTGTTTCATATGCGTCATGGTTGTGAGGACTTTCATTTGTTACAAGTTGCAAATCGAACGCCAGGGAGAGCAGGCTGCGAAAACTGCCCTTGTGGCCCGGAACGGAGTACACCTATGACTTGAGCTCTGAAGCTCGTGGCAAGCTGTATCCAAGCCAAGACCCCCTGTGAAATCTGTGAAATCTGTGGACCGGCTTTAGGTCTTGCTATGTCTTGCTTTAAGACTTTAAGTTTTGCTTTGTCTTGCTTTAAATGATTTTGAGAGTCGGCAAAGCCTGACTCTTGCGGATAGACTCTCCAGACGCCCGCTCAACGGAGATGTGGTGCTTCATACAGCCCAAACTGTGGAGACAATATCATGTGCCGGTTGTGACTGGGATGTTTGGTCGCACAGCATTAATGGCATTAACTTCTTTCAAAGTCTTCTGAACCAGGTGAAGCATTATTGGTCTCGGTCCGTGAAGCCACTGCGGGTTTCAATTGTTTTTTCACCCGGTTTGCTCTTTGGCGTCCAAAGCGCACCCATAAGCAAAAAGCTGGAGCCTTACATACCAAAATTATCCAAAATGGTGAATGATTTGGAATTGCTCAGAATCAAACTTCCAAAACAAGCTGCCAAACTGCATTTTTAAACATTTTAAACATGGTTGAACGCATCGCAGATCCTGGATTTTCTGACGGAATGCCGACAGCACGGGCGAAAGGCCGAGAGCCAGAGTGCTGTTTCAAGACGGTTAGTAGATTGTGCCTAAAAATGGTGAATACTTATCTCAGGTCTTATCATTGTTGGCACCGCTCACTGCAGATCAAATGCTGTTGACAGGTTTTGGTTCACTGCATCATGGGCGTGAACAGAGCTGCCTGGGTGAATTCCCTCAGAAGTGAAAAATTGTGATTTTTCGCAGCTTGCACAGCCACTTCAACTTGGAGACAAATTCAAGATGATTCAAGACATGTTTAGACCATTTTAGACCATTTTAGACCTCTTTTTCTGTGAATTCAATACCCAGCTTTGACTTCGAAGATTCCACTGTGAAGGCTACAGTGGCTTTCCTGTCCGGCTCCATGGGCATGTCTTTGAAGGTCATGTCGGCGTGTCATTGGCACGTCATTGGCATGCCATTGCTGCTGCAGAGCTGGTCGCATCTGGTTTCAATTGGTTTCTGTCTGAATTCCCATGTGCAGGCAGCTATCTCATTGGCTGCTGAAAAGCGAGGCGCGGAAGAGAACGACTTTTGAATCAGCACACATTCAATAAAAAGGGGTCGCACTCGGACCAGCGTAGGTATAAGAGCCAGAGCGGAACAAATATCGAAACACACCAGGAAATTGGTGTCTCACAAGCATCTCTCACTGCATCTCGGAAATTCGCGAGGTTGTGTCCTCTCGAACGCCTCTTTCTTGGACCAGCTGATCTTCAGCTTTGCCACGAAGGAGGCTTGAGCAGTTCCTTGTGACCTTTGAGTTCTGACTAGTTGCGGTTCTTTCTCTTGAATCGATGCGCTCTATGTCAATGTGCACTCTGGCAATGTGATGTAAAATCCGGGTCCGCACTAGCTGTATTTGCTACTGCGACCAGCAGGCTCTTTCCCCGTAGTTGGTACAGTATTATTGTTTGCATTTCTTCAAACAGGGTATGCAAAAAAAGAACAGAGGCGTCCTTTGTCCCATGGAAAAATATGACAGCAAACGTCCCAAGAGCATTTTATACACATGGATTGTGATAGTCCTTGCATGTCCTTGCCAACCATTCTGAAGGACCTGGACGATACGAGCGGCAGCATTTCGCGCTGAACTCTTCAGCGAAGAAAAACTTCGCAGTGTTACTGAGTCTTACTTCTGTCTGCTGTCGCCGCATCTCTGTGCTCGTTGAAGTCTCAAGCAATCTCTCAAATCAGTTGTGAATTTAGAGGATTGCAGTGTTTCACTTTGTGCTGTTGGCAGAGGCTTTGAGAATACATGGCCTTTGCAAAATCAGCAGTGCACATCACAGCACTCGAAGAGAGTGACTAGTTTGGCAGAGATTCGCAGTCACTGTGTTCGAGAGCTGACAGTGCTTCCTCAATTTCTATGGGGATGGATCACTGACAAAGCAGAGCGTTCCTGAATCGGGGACACACTCTGATCACTCTGAGCTTGCAACACTTTGGAGTGGAGTTTGGATGCACATTTTGCCCCGAAGAAACGCTCAGCCAAAATTTGCACCCTAGGAATCCTTCGCCTTGAGTCTGTATCCAGAATGAATCTGTGCCCTGAATTCTTGAACATGTTCTGACGACTAGCTTTCAGGGATCTCAATGTGGACCAATTCGACTTGGTCTCAAAGTGACGGTCTCAGCACGTTGCACTGGAGACGAAGAGACAAACTAAAATTGAATACAGACCTGCTCTTAATTTTGGCGCGATGTCGGTTTTTGAAGAAGCATTTCTGAGAGGTACATTGCTTCTTTTCACTTCATTACAGCCACGATGATGGCAGTGGGATATGGCGATATTTGGGCAAAGAATACAGTCCCTTGCTCAGTCGGGTATTTTTGTTCGTTGGACTAGTATTAAGAAAAGCTTGTTGGAGAGCCTGAGTTCGCAGAATATGACATATTTTGTTGTTCTTTAACATATTTCCCAGTCCTTAGCGCCCAGGGGAAGTAATTAAGATGCAGAATGGTGCAGAATGCTGCGGAAATTTGCAGAATGATGCAGATGCTCTATTGATCTGCATATTGATGGTATTGGCGTTCTTTTTGCTCAGGAGGAGCGTCTTTTTTGCATCGTTCTCCAACTTTTTGGAGCCACCGCCTTCGGCTTTATTTTGTCATCAGTGCGGAAACCTGGCACTTTGGAGATCCTATTCCCAGCTGCAACAAATGCAACAACTGCAAGAAATGGAACTTACGCGCACACACACACATGCAATCGGCAGGGTGATCCCTGAGGTAACTTCTTTGCTTGAATCTGCAAATCCGCGAGCAAATGAGACGAATAAGCGTGTCAACGAGATCAAGGCTCAGCGTAGATTTCACTTGACCGGCGACAGGTCTGCTGCCGTACTCAGACGGTGTTGTGTACTTGGCTTTCTGTTATGCTTCCACACAAAACAAGCGGCTTGCACAGGAGTGGTGCGCTGGCCGGCGTATTCCTCGGCACTTGAGGAGTCCTCATAAGTTGGATTGAAATCAACGTTTGAGCCGTTTGATGCTTTGGTGACAGTTTGATTCTTTGCTTTTGCTTCTGCTTCGCTTTCTTGTACCATCTCGTACCGCTTGCAATTTTCATTTTCTATATTCTGTTGTTGGTCATTGGAAGATGGAGGATCTCTGTCCTCTTTGCGCATGCAGCATGCCAACTAGGCTGCCCCTGTAAAAAAAGATAATCAAGATCTTCCCCAGGATGGCAATTCGGGAGCACACCCAATATGTCCTCCAAAAGAAATCAATTTTCAATGAAGCTCCGGCCTCAGTCGCCTCAGAAGTTTATTGTGCCGAATTCATCATCCGCTTCCTTAGAACTTGTAAATCCAGAGCATTTACCCACCAACTGTTTGTATTCTTGCTCATGTCAAGGCCGACCTTTTGTCGAACATGCCTACGAGCATCAGGCTATGCTTGGCCAAAAAGTGGATACACATGATTTAACAAGGGACTGTATACATTCACGAGGTACTGCTGCTGTCCTGCGTCACTGGGTGATTTGACATAATTTTACATAATGCAATGCTTTCAATTTGGAACAGTTGGACACCTGCCTTTTATTGGCCACATTCCACCGTCCAATTGTCACGTTCATAGAAGAGGGTAGCTTCTCAATGTTTCACCACCCAGCAAAGAAGACATTTCAAGTCTACAAAAGCACTGCTGATTTTGCATCTGTTTGTTTTTGTGTTTTGCTTGTTTGCTTGCTTGCTTGCTTGCTTGCTTGTTTGTTTGTGTCAGTTTGTGTGTTTGTTTGTTTGCTTTGCTTGTTTGCTTGTTTGCTTGCCTGTTTGCTTGTTTGCCTGTTTGTTTGTTTGTTTGTTTGATTGTTTGCTTGTTTGCTTATTTGCTTGTTTGCTTGTTTGTTTGTGTCAGTTTGTGTGTTTGTTTGTTTGCTTTGCTTGTTTGCTTGTTTGCTTGCCTGTTTGCTTGTTCGCTTGTTTGTTTGTTTGTTTGCTTGTTTGCTTGTTTGCTTGTTTGCTTGTTTGCTTATTTGCTTGTTTGCTTGTTTGCTTATTTGCTTGTTTGCTTGTTTGTTTGTTTGTTTGGTTGCTTGGTTGCTTGGTTGCTTGTTTGTTTGTTTATTGTCATTTTTTGTTTTTTCTTTCTTGTTGTCATTTCGTTTTTTGTTGGCGCTCGTGGCGGAAGAGCCTGCACTATCCTTGAGTTCCCACCAAACATAGGCGTGTGGCCTCACCCCATCCAGTGTGTGATTGCTGCCGCATCCCATCCCATCCCCACCTCAAAAATCATCAAAAACTGTGAAATCCTGTGGAGTCGCAAACCGCTAAGAGGAGAGGTAGGGTAAAGAAGCACCCAGATTTCGTGTTCAGAATGGCATCTTCAACCTGTCCAGGATGGATATCATACAAAATTCATATTCAGAGTGGCTTCGCATCTTGGAGCGGCCATTCCACGATGAGGTCAGACACCTGTCAGACAGTCCTCGCAACATTGGAAAACAGTTGCACCTTCGAATCTCGTGTGTTACAGTTTGTCAGGATAAGACTGTCTAAAATTTATAAAATCTTCAACGGTTTCAGCCTTTCAGCAACTGGATTTGATTCAAACGTGCCTTCGAGCCGACGTGACTTGGCATTGAAAGGACTTGGCGCTGAGAATGGAGCTCGTCCAGCTAATGACGCCTCAGCAGGTTCGATGCCCAAGATCCACTGTTTGGTCAACCACAGGAAGCATCAGGAAGCAAAGACAATGTCACCGTATGTCACTGTATGTCACCGTATCACCCCGAAACGTTCCAAGATGTGGCAGTGAAAATACAAGGATGTGATGATGTGATGTGAAGATCGAAGATTGAAATAGATCGAAGGTGATCTAAGATTTGACGGAGCCAGTGAGGTGCCGCAAAACGAAGTGATGATCGAGGAAGGTGAAATCACAGCGGAGGTCGACTGATTGTGTGCAAGTGCAATGATGTGCAACGATCATATTCAAAGGCTCCTAAAGCACGAAGAGAGCTGCGAGAATCTTTGAGACAATTTTACGTTGGTGTTTTTAATACTCGTGATATTATTCGTCGCAGTGGCCAAAATTCACTTTCTTGGACAAGTCTTAGCATGACAGGTGTACGTGGTGCTGCACGGTTGCCTTGAGGCAGTCCCAGAACCATCCAACTATGACGAACTATGACGAACTATGATAATTGAATCATATTGAATCATATTGAATCCGCTTTGCAGGCTGTGTGCAGCCACAGCCCAGATCCATCTGCTTCGAATTGGGTCCCGTGCCTCAGGCAAATGACAAAGTCGTGTCTTTTTCAAAATTGAGGAATTTAGTGTCAAAAAATGCAGAGATTTGCAGCATCCGTGTCTTTTGCTTGAAACTATTGTAAATGCAGCGTTTTCATGCGGAGCTGAGGATTTCACACAGTTGCCTAGATGTTTCAAATGTTTTCAGTTGGCGGACAGACAGATACTTTTGTGTGAGCCATTAATTTATGTGTATTTTTGCAGAACTATATATATACAGGTGGACTTAAACCTGCCCTTGCTGGTGGCTAATAATGTTGGCCCACAAGTTTTTGAAGAGTCCGGATCTCTTCCGGATCTCGTCCAGATCTTGTCTAGATCTCGTCTAAAGAGGAACCCTGTGCTCGCACTTTAGACCATTGAAATGCAACCTAAATACAGCATCATCCTGGCACATTGCTTAAAATTGGTGTGAGAAAATGCTCAAGATGTTTTTGCGTTCACAATAGGCGGAACATCAAAGGGATGACCGGGATGACCAAGTAAATGCTGCGTTTACATGTAGGAATGCACAAAAGGGACGCAGAGGGATGACATTGTCCCTTTCCTATACCTCCTGGAGCCCAAACGTTTGCATCTCTGCTTTTAATTTTTGAAGAAACTGTGCATGCTCATCTCTTAGTGCAGCAACAGCCATGTTGGGCTCAAAACAATCAAATGTAAAGAACTCATTGATTTGCCCTTCATGGCTCTTTCAGGTCCAGCAGTGCCTAATAAAAAGTGAAATTGGCGAGGCGGGCGATTGCCCATTTCAGCAAACACAAATGGCAGAAATCCTAAAACTGGAGATTTGATAGATAGATCAGATAGATCATGATAGATCTCATTACAGATATCCACAGAATCAAATGCATTCTGAGACGAGAACCCGAAAGATCTGGCAAGCTCTACCAGGGGAACGGAGAGTGAGATATTCGTTGGTCATGTGGATGCAGGATCTCCTGTCAGAGGATTCTGGCGATTCCAAAGAGGCCTGCATGCTTTCCAATTAATTACGATTGTTACGATTGATTCCGATTGGTTACGATTGATGGGTTGTCCCCAGTGATTTCTCGATTTCTCACACTATGTTTTCTGGATCAGATCGCGTGATTTACGATGTCATTTTGAGGCTTTTGCAGCCGTCCCGTTCTCCCCTTCCTCTTCTCCTGTTCCCCTTCGTCTTGCAGGTGCTTTGTGGTTTGTATCGGAGTTCTGATCTAGTTGGTCAAGTGGTGGCTGCTCCTGTCATGGCCACTTAGCTGAATTTGATGTGAGAGTGAGCGCCACCAAATCCTTCCTGCCTTGAATGGCATGAGAACTGCCAAACTTCGAAAGTGAGGTGCGTGGTCTAAGCAGCAGAACAGATGTTCTTGCCATCAACAAGGTGAGTGGATTGTCTTGGAACGGATATTGGCGTCGTACAACATTTTAAATTCAAAGTGAATCTATGTGAATCTATGTGAAACTATGTGAAGCTGATGTTGTTGAGATCTGAATCGGAACATATCGGAACAGCATCGGAACAGCATCGGAACAGCATCGGAACACCATGGTTTGCAGTGTTCTGATGTTGATCAGATATTGATCAGATGTTGTTCAGATCTTTTAGAATCGGAACCAATATCGGAACAGATCTTTTGGAACCGATGTGTTTCTAGGATGCCTTGGCCGACGTTCATCTTCGCTTTCCTGGAGCCATGGCTCGGATGGAGCAAAACGAGGAGCCCTGAGACACTCTGAGACACTCTGAGACACTCTGAGACACTCTGAGACCTGGAGCATCTGTGGATCCGTGGAGCGTCTGTGGGGAGGTGATCGGTGTCAAATCTGAGTCAAATCTGTGTTTTCGGATTTCGACAATTTCAGAACATGTTACAGTTTCAATTTGGAGAACGCTTTCAGGAGAGGGCAAAAGGTGAGATGATCAAGGTGCACAGAGAGGTGATTTGTGAATATTTGTGATATTTGTGCGTTCCACTGAATCAAGATTTGCCCAAGATATTCACTGTTACCTCGTGTACCAGAGATGTTTCTTCCCAAAAAGGAATTGGCTACATCACCCTTTGTCAATGGCTTGAAAGGCTCCCCATAACCAAGCAACTGTCGCGCCACGCAGCTGATATGCAGCTGATAACAGAGAATGAAAGAGCCTTGAACATACAACCTGCATCAATCTGTATATTACACTAATTTATATTATATGATGTTGTATTTGCTGTTATACTGTTATATCACACTACTTCAGCTGCTCCAGCTGAATGTGACCTTGTCACACCTTGTCACACCTTGTCACACCTTGTCACACCTTGTCACACCTTGTCACACCTTGTCACACCTTGTCACACCTTGTCACACCTTGTGACTCAGGTGTTGAGCTCAGATCTCAGAAGCAATCCCTTTGGAGAACGAGATGCGAAGGCACACGGAAAGCAAACTGAGCTGAGGATTCCGAGGCTTCTGAGGGTCAAGAGAAAACAAAACACATATGGAAAAACGAAATCATTCAGATACGCCTCTAATATATCATAATATAAATCAATATATCCACATCCAGAATTTTAGATCCTTGGTAGGAGACTCGAGGACTGTAGCTAAACTTAGATTGAAATAGTCTGTAAAGAATGTAGATGTAGAATACCTTGAGATAACTTGAGAATATATGGCTTTTAGAAGGAACACATTCCACAAATTTCTATGCTATCCTGGCGCTGTCACCGTGCCAGTCTTTGGTTCTTCTTCGCGGTGCCGAGATCTGAGCTTCAAACGGAAATTCTCTGACGGTTTTGGACATTTCAATTTTTTAAACAAAAATATCCATTTATGGTGCAAGAGACATTTGTACTTCCATTTACGTAGAACTATGCCTGACATGTTCATTGTCTTCATCCGAAAGCGGTGGCCATGTGCGATTTGAAAAGCTGAGGTTGCAACTGGTTGTGAGGAATTGCCTTCCGTTGTACTTAGCGTCGACCGCGCAGCACCAATACCGCTCGAATCTGAGCTTTGCATTCGTTGTTGCACAACCTTTTGTTGCTTTTGTATGCTTTTGTTATTACAGCGAATATATCTTGGTTTGAAATCCATTTGAGTCTGCTTGCAATTTCAGCCCTCATGATATGCAAGTCCCTTCTGCGTTGTAGGAGCAGTACGCTTCAAATACACAAACAGAACTCGGTCCATTGTGTGTGTGTGTGTCTGTGTGTGTGTGTGTGTTCGAAAGATAGGTATTGAAGATTATTGAAGTTTGACTTGGTCATTATTGACACTAATTTTACCAGTAGTACGGCAGAAGGCGGTGGTGGAAGTTTCAAAAATAGGAAACCTATAGGAGAGGTGAGTTGTTGTGAATCACAGATGGCAGAGCGAATCCACTGATGGACCGAAAGGTGGTTGGAGTTGTGTTTCTTGGAGTGGTTGCAATGGTTGCAGTGGTCACCTCACCCACAACTGCTGGATGTAGTGAAGGGTGGTGTAGTGCCGTTGTAGTGTAGTGGAGTTTTAGTTGTAAGTTGTAGTTGTAGTTGTAAAGTGGTGTATATACAGTAGTGTAATCTAGTGCAGTGTAGTGTCGTGTAGTGTAGTGCAACGTAGTGTAGCATAGTGCAGCGTAGTCTAGTGTAGTGTGCGTGAAGTAGTGTAGTTGTAGTTGTAATGTAGCGTCGTGTAGTTGTAGTTGCAGCGTAGTGTAGTGTGATTAATGTAATCTAGTGTAATTTGTGTAATGTAGAGTTGTGTGCTGTAGTAGCCGTAGTAGTAGTAGTAGTCGTCGTCGTCGTCGTAGTAGTAGTAGTGGTAGTAGGAGTAGTAGAAGTAGTAGTAGTAGTAGTAGTAGTAGTCGGAGTAGTCGGAGTAGTAGAAGTAGTAGTAGTAGTAGTAGCATCAGTACTAGTAGTAGTAGAAGTAGTAGTAGGAGTGGTAGTGGTAGTGGTAGTGGTGGTGGTGGTGGTAGTAGTGGTGGTAGTAGTAGTAGTAGCAGCAGCAGTAGTAGTAGTAATAGTAGAAGTAGTAGTAGGAGTGGTAGTGGTAGTGGTAGTGGTAGTGGTAGTGGTGGTGGTGGTAGTGGTAGTGGTAGTGGTAGTGGTAGTGGTAGTGGTGGTGGTAGTAGTAGTAGTAGTAGCAGCAGCAGTAGCAGCAGCAGCAGCAGCAATCGTCGTAGTCGTATAGCACCCAAAAAAAAAACCAATCGAACAGATTTGCGTTGTATATCCCAGGTCAAATCGCACACTTTCGGTTGGGATTCCCTTATATGTGAAATTCTTTCTCTTAATTCATTTTCTGTGGCTATACTGTCATTCAGTTGGTGATGGAAAATAAATCTAGGGGACATCGAACAGACATGATATTTTTTCATGAAACTTTACACTATTCTCGATTATGTTCATTTGCTCAATCACCACAGTTATTATAATCAGGAAGTATTGACTGAATTTGGTGAGGATACGAAGGTGGCACAGCAATGACCAAAATCATTCCAATGCCATTATTTGTCAAAACATCTTATCATAACCGCTAAGGGTGACCGTAAAAATAAAAGACGCAATACAAGCTTCTCATGTGCGACAAATCCTCAATTTTTGAACTTGACAACATCCAAAACGAAGCAATTCTGCCAGACTTCCTCAATTTTTGAACTTGACAACATCAAAAACGAAGCGATTCTGCAAGACTTCCTTTAAATATGGAAAGTTGAGTGCAGAGCTGACGGCCTCGTACCAATGCGTTTTGCGATTTTTCGACCCCACCTGTCTAAACTACTGCGCCTGCCACGAAAAAGTGATACCGAGTCATACGAAGTGCTGCACCTGTCACGCAAAATCATCTTCCCAAAACTGAAGATCTGATGCAAATGCAACCCCTCTCAGGAAATCAGCGCCCTGACCTCCTAACAGCTCTGATGAACATGTCTCTTGCACTGCGCCTGCCACGGAAAATGCATCTTTGCAGATCCTCTTCCAATGTCCCACGCCTGCCATCGTCTTTAGAAATGCTTCAAAATCCTCACGTTTTGGTCGCTTTTTTGACAAAGTGCAAAATCCCTTGCGCCTGCCAGGCAAAACGACACTTCAACGTCCAAAAGTGGCCCGTACACGTGGTGTTTTGTAGATGTTGACTTGGAAATGTGCTTCACGCCACAACGGCGTGCACTTTTTCGACATCTCAACTTCCAAAAGTGCTCCGGACATGAGGTGTTTTGTACAGTTTGACTTCGAAATGTGCTTCGCGCCACAACGGCGTGCACTTTTCGACATCTCAACTTCTAAAAGTGCTCTGGAGCTGAGGTGTTTTGTACATTTTGACTTTGAAATCGCGCAACAGCGGCGTGCAACTTTTCATCTCTCATCTGGCCAGCTGGCTCCGCACCCGCCGCTTTAGCGAGCCTATTTTTTTGACCCTCCGGAGCCACAAATCATTGGCAAAACACAGTGTCTCGCGACTTTCCTACCTTTTCGCGCACCTGGATCTTCTTTCTTCGGAGGCTTTCTC